TTAAGATCTACAACTTTGGTTTGAAGTTTTTTTTGATAAAACTTACTGTTTTTGAGCAAAATCCAAAAAACCTAAAATTTCGACCTTTGACCTTGAATAACTTTTAACGCACACATAGAATCGATGGGGACTTTTCAGACTTTATTTGTAATGGTAAACTGCAGCTCTCCACCAAAATTTGGCTTTCCGGCAATTTTTGTAACTTCAAATGTCTAAATTGACCGGACTACTTTGTAAATAATTTTTATACTAAAAGTGAATAGATTTTAATGAAACTTATATTAAATTAAAGTACACTTTTTTATCAACGCGTAGAATACCATATCAAGTTATAAATTTAGCATGTTAAGTTCAGAAAATGTCAGAGAATGCAATGCTGTAAATTGTGCATCTTTGCAATTTTTTTGAAAAGTTTTGGTAAATATTTTTTATATTAAAAGTGAATAGATTTTAATGAAACTTATATTAAATTAAAGTACACTCTTTTGTCTACGCGTAGAATACCATATCGAGTTATAAATCAATCTGAAAATGTTCATAAAATGGCAAAGAATGCGATGCTGATAATTTTTCCTACTTTGCCATCTCTTTGAAAAGTTTCGGCAAATATTTTTTATACTTATTGCAAACGGATCTTAATGATTTTTATACTAAATTAAAGTGTACTCTTTTGTCTACGCGTAGAGTATCTTTTCCAATTATAAATCAATCTGCAAAGATTTGTCTCTCTGTCGTGTTACTTGCTTTTAATAGAAACGTATATTCATCGGTTAGACGACTGACTAGACTTCTAATAATCGTCCCTTCTTTTTTAACCCCTTGGCCTACACGATATCTGCCAATTGTGCGTGCCATAATAAACAAGAGAGTCGTCGCGCGCCATGCCCATTCTTCAACTGTTCAGCCCTATACCCGAACTGGCGCAAAATATATACTCACCACGAGTCGGACTCGTGGTTTTCGCTTATGGCACAAATTCTTTACCACGAGTCAGACTCGTGGTTTTCACTTATGGCACAAATTCTTTACCACGAGTCAGACTCGTGGTTATAGGCCAAGGGGTTAATATTTTTCTTCGTTCTCTTCGATAATATCTAATATCATTTTCCTCTTTCAAATTCTTTATGAAAATATCGTTCAATACAATACCGGAATATTGAAATGAAAAGAAATACGAATTCGATGTTAATTTTGCTAATAGAAAGCAAAAAAATAAACGAACGCGTATCCGCTTCTCAACGTATTTTACTAATAAATAAATAAACAGAATATATATTTGAGCCGTGTACACAGGTCAAAGCAATTAAATCCGCTTTTATACGATTTCTCGTTCCTTTTTTTTTTCTTCTACATTTTAATTTCAATTTTATTACGAAAGCTTTCAATTGATAATATACGTATAACTTTTTGATTTAAAATAAATTGCTATATAATAATTTGACGTAACTCATTGATTTTTTTTTTTTTTATGAAATTATTGTTGAACGATAGATAAATGAATTCGACGATATATCGTGCAATTTGATTTTATTTCTATTTATTTTTTGGTTGTTTTTTTTGTTGTTGTTGTTGTTTATCAATAGCAATTTGACTAATGAGATGTTTATTTTTAAATGAAAATATATCTAGCAACATCGTAAATAATATTATAATCTTTCCCGTGTGCCATATTACTCGTAACAGAGTAATCACTTGGATATTTTCTTACGAATTTATTACTAATAAAATAGTGATTAGAAATCGGAGAATGAAATAGATATTGAGTTGGTCGTAATACGGATCGATAACTGTATGTATGTAATTCGATTTCTTAATAGTGTAGTCGGTGTCGTATTACACTGAATCTGGTATATTTTCTCAGTTCATTCATACCAGACGCGTCACGATGGCAGTTAAATTCATTATCCTAGACATTTGTTCATTTCCTATCCAGACAAATCTTACCCGGATCGTCGCCTCAATGTCTATTGGATTACATTCTACTGAATTAAACTTGTTTCCTGATTACCCACTAACGTCTACGTATGTACAAAGAATTGATTAGTTTCTTTTTCATTTTATTCGGATTACTTGCATATCTGTGAAGTAACTTTGAAATCACTCGTGTAATGAAAAATACAACAGTTGGCAAACACTTTCAAAGGGATCCAAATGATGGCCAATCAGTTTTTCTTTGTATGCGAGGAAATTTAACAATTTTTAAGATTAACATTTTGTTTTTCTTTTAATGGAATATATAGATATTTTTTGCTTTTCCTTATATTATAGATAAGAAGATCATTTTGAATTTGAAGGAAATAATATATTTATCTATGTTGATTCTATAAATTTGATTATTAAATTAGAATATTTTACGATAATTTGTTTCATGGTCGTAAAACAACTATCCTTATAACAAAAACTATGCAACTTTTGCGTCGAACAATTTGTTCATTAGGCGTTTCATTTCAAAATTATTCGAGTTGTGCAAAAGAATTCGTCCCGTATATATATAAAATACCCGTGCATACGTATATCTAAGCATGTTAAGTTTCTTTTGTTATTATTATCTAGATATACTATATCGATATTGATGATAACTTTGAAGCTTTAACAAGGTATCTTTTGATGACACGTTCTTACGATAAGAGGAATGACAACATCAAGAAAATAGGTTCATTTTTCATGTTAGTAGTGCGAAATTTGTATTTCGTTGCCATTTGCAACAGGTGCTTCTCCGTGGGACGATAACCTTTGACCATCCTTCATTATGAATAAAAAAGTATATCTAACAAGCATGTATTATCTCTCTCTCTCTCTCTCTCTCTCTCTCTCTCTCTCTCTCACTCTTTATTCCTGACGTAAAAATATATAAATATATGGATATGGGAATCAACTTTGATTTTATTCTCGAAATTTTTCCCAACTATTGAATTATGTCACGACACGAACTAATATTTTATTCAACATTTCAATTTTATCGAATAACACAAAAATAATAATAATAATAATAATAAAAATAGGAAAATAAAAAATTTAATACGAAATAGAATATCACGAAATATTTCGACTGTATAAATCGTCTTGCGGAATAAATTTTCCGTAATCGAACAACGCGATGTTTCGAGAAGCTATTTAACAAAATAAAACGATATGAAAAATATATACGCTAATTAAATATAATGAAAAATAATATTACCGATGTTACATTTTTCAATCGTACGACAAATGTCTGTATTTATGTGTCCTAAAATGATTCTTTCTAAATGTTTTTTTATTTACATTGAGCATCCAATTAACGACGCATTAAAACGACGCATTTATTAAGACCAGTACCGGAAAGTTTTCAAACCCTTACAATTTCATTGCTGCGATTTTACTACGGATTCTTCATTAAAATCTTAAATTAATTTAAATCCCAGGCTAGAGTAAACAAGTGAAATGACGATGATCGTGTCTTTGATTAAAAATATAGTTACTTTTTTGGATTTTTTATTATTGTGTTGCTCGGTTAAGCTCGGTTCCTACGAATTTTGTTTAATCCGTCAGCACTCTCGTGAATTTTTCGATAGTCTTTACTCTCTTGATGAGAGATTTGCTCACGCTCTGTGCGCACGCATCAAATATTTCGCGCGTTTAATAACTTTTTAAATTTATAAATCATAAAACAATATTTTTTGTTTTAATTATTAATAATTATTTAATAATTACTTAAAATAATTATCACATTATGCATATTAATTGCACTTGTAACGGGATCAAATTGAAGAGTAACGAATTATACGGAATTCAGTTGAATAACCGTAAATCAATGAAGATGCACAAACTGACCTGACCGCTAACGACCTGACGCTTCTCTCTCCCATGATGAGAAAAACTCTTACTATTTCTGAGGTGCATGAAAAAAGAATTTTTTTGTTTAAACTCTTTACATGGGATTGAGAAATGTAAGGAATTCATATTATTTTAAAAATAGATAAAATTTCATGAAGATAGACAACTATCCATTCGATAAGAAAAAAAAAAAGTTATCGTTGTTTTAATTCGAGCGTGAGCAAAATGCTCATAACGGGGTTAATAACAAATGAAAAAAAGAACTTTCCGATATCCCGAAATGAAAATGTTCGAAGATAAGGGGTGGGAATGGCGGCAAAGCTTACCCGGAAGTAGCTTGTATGTCAAATTCTGGCCAGGATGGTCTGCGACGACAGAACATGAGTGGTGGTCGATCCGAACTGATCCCAGCTGTACTTCGACGAAAGGAACCAACTCTTCGTGGTGAAGGGGAATTTCCAGAACTCTGACCGCAAGCAGAACCACAGACAACTAAACCATCATTCGCAGCGGCTGCTGCTGCAGCGGCAACAGGATGAACGCTCAATCCTGACGGAACCGAGCAGTCAAGAGTACGTCTTCTTGAAAGTGAACGAACTTGCGAGGATGAGGAAAGTATCGTTCCTGGCGGTGGAACAACCTAAAATATTAACAGATTTGAATATGTCCTAAGGAACATAACACAGCTTCTTTATTGTTCAAATCTTTATCTTAAATTCGGAAATCTATAATAAAATTATGTAAAAATTGTAAATCGTAAAGAAAATGTCAGGTAAAAGGCTTTACAAATATTTCAAAATGAATCGATATTTTTCAAATCTTTATATTTTTTTGTTTTTTTTTTTTTTGTTAATTGAAGGTACCTATCTCGTGAGAGAATTATGATCTGATAGAATAGTAGTAAAAAATTCATATAATTATATTTTTAAAACTTAAATTAAAAAATAATTGGGAGGGGCGAGGGGGATGGCACAATTATATAAGCAAATGTAATGGCTTTTATTTCTTTTTGTTTTCTTTTCTTTCTTCTTAAGTCAAGGTGGTCGTAACTCGAAAACTGAGTGTATGCGTAAGAAATATATTTTTTCCTATTGCTATTTTTACCTAATCAAGGACTTTTTTTGGAAAGACCTCATCATTTCGACTGGTTTTGGTAGAAATATAGGTATATCAAAATAGCTGGTATAAATCTAGTGTTAAAATATATGACTAGTAAAAGATTGTAACTTATAAGAGAAAAAAATGTAACGAAGGTACCTTGGGGAAGCCATGAGGAGTCGATTGATGTGTACTCGAATTGTCATTGACGATACTTCCGCTAGAACCGCTTCTACCTGTCGTACCAGCTGAGTCCTCTCGACTGAAGGAGAATCTCTTAGGGCTGAGATTGAAGCTCGCCACACTCTCGCTCACGTATTGCTGAAGAGAATTGAAGAAGCTCATTTTCAAGATTTCTTTTACTTTCTCTCTTACTCTTCCACTTCACTTGCTGCTATCGTGTCGCACTTTTTGATCAACTACGAGAAAATCATTTCGATCGTTATTTTCGATCGATCATTTAACAGATTTTTTTTTTACGACGACTACGACAACGACAACGATGATGATGATGATATTGATTCAATCCAAAATCCATCAACACTTTCCTCACTTTCCGTTCTTCTTCGTCGACATTGAAGCTTCATTCGAGTTGTCCCATTTTCTTTAAAAAAGATCATCTTTCCGAGATACGGTAAACCATTGGGGCTCCTCTGTAAATTCAAATTATTCCGAATGTCATCAATGGGTTAAAAAGAAATAAGTAAAATCTTTTTTCTTTTTTTTTTTTCTTTTTGAAAAAACTCTGTACTCCTTGATGTATCATTTTTATTAAATGGTAAGTATATTTTATCATAAAACCGAAAACCACTAAACCATTGAAAAGGACCTGAATTGAATACGGAAAGGTGTTTTCTTCTGCTACAGGGAAAATTAAATTAGGCAAAAATAACGGGCACGTTATCGTTGCGGTTTCCCCGTTCTTCTAGAAAACGTATTACGTGTACAAATGGAAATGCAAATGAAAAGAAGAAATGAGATCTTTTCCGTTGAAATGGTTAAATTACAATTTAAAACGCGGTTATTGTAGTATTGAAATCTTTTTTCTTTTTCCTTCAGTTCTCTGTTTGAATCACAATTAATCTATTATTTATTTTTCTTTCTTTTAAGTTAAATTTTCTAAAATTTTACCATCATGATAAAATTTATTTTTTTTTTTTTACAAATTTAAAGCGGAATACGTTTAAGTGTAAAAAATAAAAAGATGTAAAAGATCTTGTTCAATAAAAAGCTGATTATATATAATATGTCTCGTGTAATTGGTTAACGTATAAATTGGTGTAGACAAATGATTAAATAAGCTTAATATTTTAAAATTTATATCTCTCGAAGAAAACATTCGACATAGGAATAAATATCATTTCTTTTGGTGAAATTCATGTAGTTGTCTGTTGGTAGGATAACACAACGCGAGATTCCCAATAAAATTGATATCAATCTATAATATTTTATCGTTTAGTCATCTCTCCCCCTTATCGCCACTTTACAGAACCGGCATCGATTTAACGCACCGATAAATTTCTCGACCATGTAAATATCGATAGCAGCCAGCACACTTTTATCGTTTTTCTAGTTTTGGATATTTTCTATTTAAAAAAAAAAACAAAAAAAAAAACAAAAAAAGAAATATAATAGTGTCACGTTTATACAGGAAGATACACAAATAAAAAATGATCACGTTATTATTTTATAATAGACCGTGTCAAAACAAATCGTCATTTGTCAATGGTTGGGTACATAAGCAATGTTATCTCGGGCAAAAGTTATTTTCTTCTCTTTCTCTTTTTTTTTTTTTTCTTTTCTTTTCTCTTCTCTTTTCAAACGATTAATTAATTTCTCATTTTCCGACAGATTTCATAGAGAAAATAAAATGATCCTATAATATATTGGAAAAAGTTAGTCAACTTTGTTATAAAAGTTTCTTTAATTATGTATGTATATATCTGCTCATCGGTGGGGGAATAAAATACTCGGGATAAATATTTAGCGTTAAAATGATTCCCTTCAAAGCCATGAAACGGTTTTTCCTTTATGAATCTTTTAACACAATATAACGAACTAATCTCACAAACTTGTTCGCGAATAAGTTGTTCAAAATTATCAATTATTGTAAAAGTCAAGCCCAAGTGTTTAATACTAATTCTAGTCGTAATTTAACGCGCAATTAAATCAACGTTATTTTTTAAATGTCTTTTAACGGTTAAACGCATTGATACTTAATTATCTTCACGCATGTCATGCATATTGTTTCGCATGTTCATAATAACATTATTATGTTCGTGCAAATATAATTCATAAAATGTCAAATATTTGTCTTCCCTTTTTCCCATCTACATTTTCAGTTTCTTCTCTCTGCGATTTCTTTTTTTTTTTTTTAATATTTTTTTTTTTTAAATTCTCCAACATCGAAAATAATGACATTTTTTTTTCGATTTTTCGAATAATAGTAATAAAAATTAAAATAAAAGAACGATGATGTGATGATGGTGTCTTTCGATCGGCAAGAAAATCGATAAAGAACCATTGACTAACCAACCACTCCATCACGTGGATTTACACTAGTACTACCTACATTTACTTTACCATCTTCATGACCCTTAGCGATTTTCTAACATTGAGTCTACGTTCTATATAGTATTTTCTTAGTTGATCTTAAATCGTAATAAAAGATCAGTAACAAGACAATCTGAGAGCACTCCTGTTATACGTAAGTTTGTGTGTTCCTGATTCGATAAATGAAAAAAAAAAAAAAACGAGAAAGAAAAATAAAAATAAAAATAAGAGAAATCATTTGATCTACTTGATATATAGAAAATATTTTTTTCCGCGTGTGTATGTGTATAAATAAATAAAATAATAATTTTTCATTCAAGATTTTATACTATATCGTTGAATTCGTATTTATATGGGTTATAATATTGTAAAGTCAAAAATACTAAGTGCCATTTAAAAACATTAGAAAAAGAATTTTTTTTTTGAACTTTTTTTTATTGCAATATATAGTCAATCAAAAACAGATCAACTTTTGTTGAAAGTATTTTTTTATCAGGTTATCGGAAGTACTTGAAAAGTCGTGACTAGAGTTATGTGGGACACCCTGTATATACAATATATATACATGTTTGTGTGAATGTGTTTGTGTACACTTGCAGAAAACTCAATAACTTAATGACTTTCGACAGCAATTGGATTTACAGTAAGTACTCTCTGTAAAACCTCTTACAACTAATATACAACCTTTCGTATTCTTTTTCCGTTTCAACCAACGTAACTCGACACGAACTAGTATACTATGTATGTACGCAAATATATAGGGTATCCAATTTATAACCGCGTGGAAAATTTCATCCAATCGCAATATCAAAAATATTATTTAATGTACAATTTTTTAATCTGACGAATATGCAAACGAATAATATAATATCAACTTTATATCCTTTTTCTTTATTCTCACCGTTCTTGAAAACTTGGCGAATAAAACAACCGAAAAAAATTACGATTATAGAAGAAGAAAAAAAAGAAAACAAGTTATTTTTATCAGCCGTATTATTACTTCCCCGTTTGATAGTCGTCAAATAATTTAATAGGAAAATATTTTCTTGATATCTCTTAGCAATCGAAAAGAATTATTTAGCTATCTATTGTTAAACGAGTGAGTGAGTGACTACCCTGTATATAGAAGTGTCCTATTCCTAAACTCGTAGCACGTACTCCTAAACATGGTATCTTAGAATAAGTTAAGTATTTGAGTTTAGTTCCCTATCGATTAGTATAATAAATTTTCCTTAAAAATTGAAACAAGAGAGAATAATTATTAGTATTTTTTTTTTTTCTTGTTATTTTTTTGATTAATTCTTCGTCGCGTACATAAATAATTAGTCATCGTAGAAAACTAATAGATATGGAAAATAAACTAATTGTAATAGGAAAAATGTTTTTAATGAAAGACGACGACGACGACAATGGTTGAAAGTTTAGAGAGACGATTCTTTAACTTGCTCAGATTCCTTTATCGATAAGCTGGACTATCATTCTAAAATCTAGTATATTCGTTCCAGAAAGAGGAGAGAAAAGAAAAAAAAAATAATAATAATAATAAAAATCAAAAAGTAACACGGCAGGTGACGTCGAGCATGCCAAGTCGCGTGTCCCACATTTTCAGAAATAGCCAATAAGCGCTAGTAATTAGCAAGTATATTACGTTTCGAAGGTACACGAACCCTGCAATTTAATTTTTCTTTTCCTTCCTTAGATCGTAGGAGTGAACAAAAAAAAACCACAACAGAAAAAAAACAAAAGAAAAGAAAGGAGATTCGAAAAACAAAAACTTATCGTCAAAGTCCACCGTGTATAAAATGACTGTGTGAAAGGGAAAATTAAATTATTTTTCTTACAAATCGAGAGATCTTTCTTTTCAAAAATAAAAATTAAAAATTTTGTTTTTTCTTTTTATAGATAATTAAAATAATTTTTTTTTTTTTTTTCATTTTTTTCCTTCTTCTACAAAATGTCAATTAATCCTTGATGATAAAATAAAGTGTATACTTAGTAAAAAACCCGCTTTAACAAATTCTACTCTGTAATATTATGCATTTTAAAGGTCAGGCATTGTTTCAACTGCAGTATTATTAATTCTACAACATTTTGAAAACATTTTCAAAAGAACGATGATATTTATCATACAAATTGATGTAATTCAAGAAAATTTATTCATTTGATCTTTCGAATTTAATCTCGGAACGAAATATCTTTTAAGGGACTTGCCAAACATTTTTATTATTATTATTATTATTATTATTTCAGCTAAAAGCAATCGTCAAATGGATGCGCAAAATTCTTAACATAGTTATTAAAGCGCATTAACTTTTTATAATTCTCATTCGCAACACGTTATTATATCGTACTTAATTGAAATGAATACAAATTTTTAATTCAATTTTGGTTTTTTTTTTTTTCTAAAGACCGTATTACGAGATTACTTTGAATGAATCGTAGTTATACGTATAAGTGAAGTACCGGTCTTGTTTGGCAATTTGATCAAATCTGATCGTTAAAAAAAATTCTTCTAGCGTTTCTCTGACGCGATATACTCAAATCAAAAAAAAGCAAAAACAAAGAAAAAGAAATAAAATGACATTATCCAAATAATAAAGAAAATAAAATAGAATAACTCAAAACGTTCTTTAATTTTTCTCTATTGTTTGGTTTTTGAAACACATCGTCATTATCGATTCGTGCTATGCTCTCGTTTCATTCGTATATATAATATTTCAATATATCAATCTGCCAATAATCGCGAACAACAACAAAATTAGGGAAATGCAGATGAACTGTTAAGCTTTCTTTAGAAAAAAGATTATCGGTGCTTAACGAATCCTTTCATAACTCGAACATTCGATAATTGTTAAACGAATGGAAAACTTTTTTTTTTCCTTGATATCCTCATGCACGTTCGTTTATTCCTTGTTGATGTATCATACACGGTTCTTCCCGAGAGTTTTATTTTTCTATCTCTCTTTTTTTTTTCTTTACCCCCCCCCCTTCTTTTTTTTATACCTCTTATTTTTTGTAATTTCCCCGTTATTTTTTTTCATCGGGCAAAAGATCGACAGCTGATCATCATCTATCGCAAAATAAAAAGTAGAACGTAGTCACGCGAGGTTGTTGGAAACACACACACACACACAGACAGACAGACACATACACGCGTCAAAAATGATCGATATTTGCGAAGCTATACGCAAAAGTTTGTTTTATTTTTTCTTCCTTTCTTTCTTTCTTTCTTTCTTTCCTTAATAAACGAATGTTTTATTACGCGCATACGATGGAAACTATTTTATTAAAATTATTTCTCATAATTATTCTATATTTTATTATTATTATTATATTCTATATTTATTTCTAATATATTCTATATTATATTCTATATTTATATTATTTAATATATATATATATATGTGCCCACATAATTATGAAAGTGGTCTAAGTCAAAATGAAAAAAAAATGAGTTTATTATTTATTTCACACACCACATTATTTTAAACTAAATTAATTCAATATATAATTTTCACGATATTGTCAAAAGTGAACTGTTAGATAGTGTTTGTTATTTCAATATTCTATAGAATTCATTTATCATACGTGTACGATTGTTTGAAGAAACATTTTTTATCGTTAGATCAAAATTGATTGTCTCGCACGATTGTTTGTTTGCTCGTGCGTATTCGTCATGATTACAAAATTATTTAAAATAATTGATTACGATCAACAACATTAAATATTTTCCAAACGTTTCCTTCGATATATACTATTTTTGAAATTATTTTTTCTTTTTTTTTTTTTTAGTTTATTCATCGCCATCACCACCTAACCCCCACCTGCGAGGGCTCGCCCTCGTTTTTTTTTTATTTTTGTTTTCTCTTCTTCTCTTTATACTTTCTTTTTTTAGTTGTTCGCTTCCGTTACTCCGTAGGTGAATTTTTTTCGTCCCAATAAATCTTTCATTTGCAACGGTTTCGTGAGGGAGAAAAGGCGTATCGTATCGATATTGGAATACGGGTCCATAGTAGTCGCTAGGCTTTAATGCAAAGGGTGCCTTTGGCGTTTGCGAAATCGAGAATCGATTTTACGGATCTAGGAATTGCATCGACGACGACGACGACGCGACGACCATCATTTGTCTATTCAATTTTCCTTTTTTTTTTTATCTTCTTTTGCTTTTTTTTTTTTTCTTTCTCTCTTCCCCTCTCGTGTATACGACGAGAAAACAAGTTTAAATTTAGAAATGTGATAGATAATTGTATCCGTTTTGTTATATTTTTGTTTGTTTGTTTTATTTAATAGAATAGAAATTAATAAGAACGATTAATAATTAAAAAAAAATCAATCGAGGTTAAACAATTCATTTTGAATTAGAGATAAATGAATCGATAAATAAATAATTAATTAATTAATTATATAGAGTAAGTTAAATTAATGAATATAATTTTCTAACAAGCTTAATGAAATTTAAACGACATAAAAAAGAATCTGTCGACCCTTTGTAACAGAATATCAGTGCGTTGGCATGATCTAAGGAAATTTCAAGTAGCGTATCTCCTCGAAAGCTGCCATTTAAATCGAATTAGTAGAATCCAAGCACGCATTTTACGCGTTTATTAAAATCAAAGATTTTATTTCCCGAACGAGAGAAAACGACAAAGTAGGTACGCGTACACAAATATATACACGCACGCATGCACGCACACATATAATTAATCACCTTTGTTGTTAGTCAAAATCATTTAAATCGAAACGCAGAATTTTGCATCGTAAAAGTTAAAAGGAGAAGAAAGAAAAAAAGAAAAAACATAAATAAATAAATAAAAGGAAGAAATCATGTAAAGAAGAAAACAAAATTCGTATGCTTCAGTTACTCACCTCAACAAAAAACTACAACGAATGTTCGTAGAATAAAATTGGATGTGTCCCAGTAGAGAAGGTAGGAAAATATTCTTGATACTCGACGAGGGGTAGGGTATCCTAAGAAGGGTAGAGAAAACGTGCACACGTCTACGCAAGCAGCGAAGAGGAAACTGGAAGGTCCGAGGAGCACCGTACGAGGAGCACCGTACGAAGCGCGCGTGTGTGCTCCCAATTTACGAATCCAGCCACTTGTAGCGCCGCCGCCAAAGCACCAGCACCTCACCCCGCCCCACCCCGCCCCGCCACCACCGTACCTAGGCAGCCACCCCTATTGCCGGTAAACAGGTGAGAAAGAGAGAGAAACGTGCCTATACCCTTCGAGAGGTTCGACTCTTTTCTTCGTTATAGGAGCCCACTCTTTTATCATCTTCCCTTTGCCTCCTATTTTCCTGCTTTTTCTTCGATATCTTTACTTTTATTTTATATCATTCCAATAGAGAATAATGCTTTCCCAGTTTCCTTTTCTTCTCTTTTCTCTTCATTTCTTTTCTCTTCTCTTCTCTTCTTTTCTTTTCTTTTCTTTTCTTTTCTTTTTACCTTCCTCCCAACCTAGCCGTTAGCTAGCTAGCTACCACCCCTGCAGGCAAGGTACACACACACACCAACTCAACAAAATCGGAGGTACATTTGCGTGCGCATCCGTCCATCGATCTATTTTAGCTCACCTACGCTCCTACCTGCAAGCCCTGCTTGCTTGCTTGCTTGCTTGCTTGCTTGCTTGCTTGCTTGCTTGCCGTCACCTCTTTCCCTTTAAAACCCTATTTCTACCCCCAACTAAATCTTAATCGAATCTCATCTTACGCGAACTACAATGATATATATATTTATTTCCTTTTTTCTTCTTCTTTTTTCATTTCATTTTGTTTTATTTTCTTTTTATTTTACTTGTTGTTACATTATCTGTACGAAAACAAGTTAACAAACTGACAATTAACACACTTTTTATTTTAATTCAATTGAAATTCATGATAATTAATATGATAATTTTTTCATTTGTATTTTTTGTTTACTTTGATTACATAATAATACATTTTTTAAGATATCCCTAATTAATAGTAAAATTTGAAAAAACATATGCAATTTCGTTATAATTATTGAAAGTTATTTCATTGTTCGTTCCTTTTTTCTTTTGTTTTTTTTTTTCTGAAGCATTAGAATGTTTATGAAAAAATGATAAATGGAGTAGAGAAAGTATTTGAAAATCGTAGTAGAGAGTATTCGTATGGAATATATGTGAATGGAAAGTACTACGTTCTATTTAATGGCAAACAATTATAACTTACGCGAGAAAGAAGAAAGCGACAATTATCATGCTCGAAAAAATAAATACAATACATCTAGACAACTCATGCTTTTATTTGTCAATTAAATGACGCTTTACTTTCTCCGAGGTAATTTTGTTGTCTAATCGTTTCGTAGTTTTTTACGCTGACCGTGTAAATCATCTCTTCGTTCGTAGTATTTATACTTAATTTCGCGTCTTTGTGATTCCAGTCTTTAGTATAATATCTGTAACACTCGGAGTAACGTCTTAAAGTATTAACAAATTGAACAGTCAAGTATTCTAATTAAAATATTCAAGATATTCGATTCGATTGATTATTTGAATTGTCCGTAATGTTCGTCAAACGATATTTTAATTTTTTTTTAATGAATTTCATTTTCGCGAGTATCGAAATTAATGCCTGGAACATTTGGAAAATGCAAAAGTTTCCGCAGGTACGACGTTTTTGGCAAACTAACGAAAATCGATCTCGAGAATCTTACGATCGGGAGACGCACGCGCTTCAAAATATTAAATCGGCACAAAGTTTCAGAGAAAAACGACGTAAGTTTATCGTTAAAACAAACAAGAAAGGAACAAAATAATTGGCTACAAAATTTCATTTTATTACTATTAGATTATATATCACTAAAAAATATTAATAATAATATATTAACAATTATTTATTATAATTAATAAAATATTTAGTTATCATTAGAAAATTGTCTTTCATTTTTACAAAAAAGAAAAAGAAAAAAAACAAAACGAAATGATTTTCCGAACAACTTAATAACAATAAAATATTTTGATTAATTATTCAACTTCTCAGTTTTTCCACTGTTCACCGTGGTAAGGTTTGAAAATAATATTTGCGGTGGTTTGAACGGTGAAAATGGTACATGCATATCAGCGACGGAATGTTCACAACGTGGTGGTATATCCAGTGGAATTTGTGCTAACGGTTACGGGGTCTGTTGTATCGGTAAAGAATATTTATATTTGAATGATGTATTATTTCGACAGATTTACCTTTATTTCTATAAAAGATTATTATTTTGAAGTAATGGTCTCGTGCGGACAAACAATTAACGATAATAATACATACTTTGTTAATCCAAATTATCCATCGACATTCGATGGTACCGAGTCGTGTCAATTGACGTTATTGAAGTCAAATCCAGATGTGTGTCAATTTAGGTAATATAAACATATCTTTTAATCCTCTGTTATGTCTACGATAATGATTTGTTAAATATATATATATATATATATATATATATATGTTTTCACAATATTTCAAATGATATCATATACCAGAATCACTCGTGTTTTCTTTAAAAAGCAAAATATATTATATTTTATGTCGCATATAAATGTAACGTAAAAGATAATATCTTTTCTAAATTCTTTTTTTTTTTAGATTAGATTTTGTACAATTTATGATAAGAGGACCCGAGACGACGAACAATTTGTGCACGTACGATCAATTTATTGTCTCCGGTGGTAATCCAGTGCCAACCATTTGTGGAACCAATAATGGCAATCACAGTAAGTTACATTTTGTATGTTTTATACGCGAGCTCGGGAATAAAATGTTATTTCTTCATTGAGCAAATAAACAAATATTTCTTGTCAAATTTTGATCTCGCAGTGTACATTGACGCTGGTGTAGGCCAAACTAATCCCATTACACTGACATTCGTCACGAGCGGAAATTCCTTTCCACGATCCTGGAAAGTCCGAATATCACAGATTCGTTGTAGTACAATTTACAGAGCTGAAGAAGGTTGTTTGCAATATTTTACCGGTGTATCAGGACAAATAAAATCATTCAATTTTGATCCGACGACAGGATTGCAATTGTCCAATCAGGATTACAGTATATGTATCAGAATGGAAAAAAACTTTTGTGGTATACAATATATGCCCTGTTCTGACGAAGGTACGACAAACGAATGCATATCATTTTTTTTCCTTCTCTTTCATTTTTTTATAATACTATAAAATAATCCTTTTTCAAGAGTTACGAATGCGATTGGGAAAAAATGAAAAAAGGGGATGTGTTTTTTTTCTTTTGTCATTTATTCAAATATTTGATATAAAGTGAAATTTTGGATTTTATTAGCAATAAAATGTAATATTTCGATAAATTTCCAACTAATTTTGACTCTTGAAAAGTCATAAATGCACATGTGTGTTCACATTAATAACAGATTATTTTGAATATAACAATAGGTATTTGTCGGGCGATTATATTTAATGCGTTATAAAATAAAAGTTTCCTGTTATAAAGTTACGTTGACGAAAATAAACGATGGAAACAAAAAAAATGCAATATTAACTTTTTCAAATTATTCCTCCGTAATTTTTAGCTCGATCCTTTAAACAAGGTCATGTACATATTAACTTTGCATAACTTTATTATTTAAATTATACCTTCTAAAGAATATGATTTAATACGCGTATTTGAATAATAATTTTATTTTTTTTACTTTTTATTTTTTATTAATTAAGATAAAATATATATATATAGATATGTACAGAATAATCACTTTGATTAATCGAAGATTTGATTCCGTTTAACTTTAACTAATTAGAGAAGTATCATCAAAGATACAAACAAAACAAAGTTTCTAGTTTCTAGTTTGTATTAGAGAATACTATATAACTTTGATAAGAAAAGATTTTTAATAATATAACGTATAATTTGAAAGTTATCCAAAGTGCGTATAACTTGTCTTATATACACGGATATAATATCTTCCTATTGGTCGAATGAAATTCGATAAGATATAAATAAATATTACAGGTACTATGGTAACCAGTGGGCCAGGACAAATGTCTCGTAGTAACGCGTTTACTTTAACGGGTAATACTCAAGGAACGCAAATAGCTTCGATGACAGGTGCCGCATGTCAAACAGACTACCTGATGATACCTTGTGCGATTAACGCAGGTAGAACTCCTTCGATGTCAATCACCTGTGTTGACAGATTGTGCGGCGGTACGTTTAATGCCGAGAGTCAAAACTTAAACTCATCTTCGGTCATTAGTGAGTGTTATTACTTACTTTTATATATATATATATATATATATATATATATATTATATTGTATTTTATTATATTATAATTATATTATATTTATTTATATTATTTAATAATATTTATTAAAATTCTTTATTTATCATATTTCTTTTTCTAGGCACTGTTAAACCTTTCAGATTAATATTTCATACGGATGCAATAGAAGCACCGAATGATGTTGGAAATAGAGGTTTTTGTTTAAATTATGTTCAACAACCGTGCACGACAAAATTAAGGTAAGGTATTTTTGAGGTATACATCCAATTGGAAAATGAAAGAATGGAATTATTCAAATCCTTAGGGGTCCACAGTTTATTTCAAGATCTTTCCAAATATTTTATAAGTTTTCTTAATCAATACTAGGACGATGTTAATCCGATTAAAAAATAGGATCTCGCGGATATTATATTATCTTTTATATCTGTTTTTTTTCTTCTTCTTCTTCTTATTTTGTTGCAAGTAAACGTACATTGTACGCTTGTACATTTTTTTTTTATCTCAGACATATAATTCATTTTATTCGATTATTTTATTACGCTCACACTTTTTTGATTTATGTATTTTTTTTATTCTTTCTCTTTATTTTGTCTTCTTTTTTTTTTCCTGTTGCACCTATTATCTAAAGAAATGATCAATCAGACTTTAAACCAACCAACCATGCGAATCGTAAATACACGTGTAACATACGACAATAGTGCATCTTTTAGATATAATATATTTTCACACAATAACACGACGATATATGTGTGTGTATAAACAAATTTTCCTGTAACTGGTTGATACAAACAAACTTAAAGTATGATTATTCTACATGATTAAAAAAATCAGTCGAAAAGTCATAGACTCATAAGTCTTTGCATTTGAGATTATTAAACGTAAGTTTAAAAATTTATCGAGTATTACGTATACATTTATTTCAATTTCAATTCGATAAATTTGACTATTTTATTCTCGGATATTCCGAAGAATCATTTTTATGCTTCTTAATATTTTGACAAAAATTGTCGATATGATCGAATCTCTTGTACCGATTTTACTCTTATGTTTATCTTTTTAGATGTTTATGTTTGGCTTTTTTAGATTCCACAATTGCAAGCTCAGTCAAATGCACAAATACTCGACTAATATTCTAAATTATTTTTCTCCAAAACAAAATCTTTTACGAACAAATTTGATTCGACATATTCGACTTGATTTTTCATCTTTAATCAATTTCTTATTCGTTTGTATCATTAGTTACAGAACACATCTTGTATATACTTAAATATATATACATAAAATATCATAGATTAAACATTAATACTTCGTTAAACAATTTTAACGAGAAATAGGGCATGAATTTTTGTTTTTTCTTGCGTAATATCAGATGATATATAATTCGTATCGTTATCTTCCTATTAATCAATGAAATAATTAATGAATATAGACATTATAGAGTGTATTATAAAATCTAAACAAATCTTCCTAGCAGTCAATTAAAGTATCATCTTATCATTTTAATTTTAATTAATTTTAATTAATTTTAATTAATTTTTAATTAATGAATAATTTTTTCATTACTCTTATCAGAGAGATCTTCCAATGAGTCTGCTTCAGTGTTTCATCATTAAAAATAATTTAATATATTTATTATTAAATTAATCTTTCTAAGATGAACAAAATTGTCTTTTTTTCAATTCGTCAATAGAAAAACGCATTGGTACAGTCGTATTTACTCATCTATACGTGTATACGTAATTATAGTATTAAAATATTCCTAATTTGAATAACGTATAAAAATAATGATTAGATATACACGCGAAGTCTTGATCGAATAAAACGTAAGCATGTTGTAATAATTCGAAAAAATATCCGAGCAAGTGTTAGCAAGTGCGATCATGAATTTCTTTCCATTGCAATATCTTTTTGTTTTTATTTTAATTACGAAGCATATAAAACGTCATTAGTCGATTTAATGAGACGGCGTGCGAGAATCGTGGAGATCGATAGTTCGGATAGTTTATTATATTTATTTCCTTCTCCTTCTTCTTCTTCTTCTTCTTCTTCCTTCACATTTAATGAATATAAATTGAAGAATTTTATTTTATTTTATTTTTCCAGGAAACATTCATAACGGCATTAGTTATGTTAATTACAACGTTTTTATATGTAACATTTTAATCGACTGCTAGGAGTAAACCTAAATTACTAATTAACATAAACTTTCATATATTCCAATCGTTAATCGAATGTTAAATGAAAATATTCGATGAAAATGAATACGATCGACAGCAGTCTTCATTGATTGAATTATCATTCGATTGGATCCTCTCGTAATATCACAAATCGATATTTAAATAGTTATTAACAATTTGTAATGACAAATTCACGATAATAATATATGATTTCATTGAATTATATGAAAAGTTTGACGCGTCTGATCGGAATACAAAAAAAAAAAAGCAAAAAAAAACAACAACAAATATTTCTCCAATATTTTTCGTAATTTTTTTCCTTCCTTTTTTTTCTTTTTTTAGCCGATCATAAGAGTCAACCTAATGAATAGTTAGAGTAAAAATTGTTCAAAGTACAAACGTTCAAACTTACTAAAATTAATATTATTATTATTATTATANAACAAATATTTCTCCAATATTTTTCGTAATTTTTTTCCTTCCTTTTTTTTCTTTTTTTAGCCGATCATAAGAGTCAACCTAATGAATAGTTAGAGGAAAAATTGTTCAAAGTCCTAACGTTCAAAATTGAAAAATTTAATATTACTGTTATTTCTTTAATTTTATTATTATTATTAGTATTATTATTATTATTTTAATCTCTAACCAAGAGAGAAAGACCTTTCTTAATAAGCACCATATGTAAACGCAATATGTTGCTGGAAAAAAATAGTAATATAGAAAGGTAGAAAGAGAAAGAGGAGAAGAAAGAGAGAGAGAGAGAGAGAGAGAGAGAGAGAGAGAGAGAGAGAGAAAGAAAAGAAAAAGAAAGAGTTACCGATGCTAGACCATTTATCATTACAGGCCGTTACGATTTGTTTATAAATATTTGAAACGACGATGCTATTATTAAAGCTCTGCCATTCGATCTTTTTCTTTCATTCGAATAAAACGACGACGCGACATTAAAAGAGATCAATTTTGATCGGTTCGCGACTATTATTTTAGTGCCATCTAAAAATGAATAGGCGATTTTTATTATACGCTAGAAAACCTTAAGTGGTGTCAAAGCAGATATATTATTTCCCTTTCCTGTTACGATCGAGATAAAACAAAATTAATCGTTAACGATAATAATTGAATTACGGTAAATCGATTAAATTTAAACGTAATTAAAATATTTTCAATAATCGTCGATATTTTCTACAGAAAAAAATGAAAACAAACATTTTCTTAGAGATTCTAATATATGTGTGCCCATAATTATGAAAGTGGTCTAAGTTATATATCTCTTGTTTCGAGATATTTAAAGGATTACATTTGAACATTAAAAATGAATTCTGTATAATATTGAAATAACAAACACTATCTAACGGTTAATTTTTGACAATATCGTCTTAAAATTACATTGAATTAATTTAGTTGAAAATAATGTGGTGTGTGTGAAATAACTAAGAAACGAATTTTTTTTTTATTTTGACTTAGACCACTTTCATAATTATGAGCACACATATATGTATATATTTCTTCTATTGTTTTCTTCTTTTTTCTATATTGTTTAATAGTCGATGTTCTATTATTTGCAAATTTTGTTACATTTCAAATGTCTCTACGTTATTAAGTCGTCTGTATTGGTCAGTATATATTAGAAATTGTATTGTATAATATATATATAAATACTTTTCTACATAATCTTAAGATTCTTATGATTCCATATAATTCCAAATAAACGTATTCTTATTGATAATTATTTAATTTCTTATCGAAGATTAATCAATTCCATATTTGGTCTTGTAAAATGGTGCAAACACTTGTACGAAATGAAGAATTTGTTCTTATCGGAATAATTATGAAAAATCTATCGTGCTTAGATTGGCAGTGTAAAATTATGTTGAATTTCTTTTTTATGAGAGCCACAATTTTTACGCGATAAAGTAAACGTACGATATTGTGAATAGTTTACAATTAGATATTAGATTTAACATCAAACGTACTCTCGTATATTTATTTCGTGTACTCGCGTTAAATCATAGCGCATATTTTGTTTCGATGTTATTACTCGTTTTTTTTTATTAATTACGATTTTTTGATTGAAATTAAAAACGTCAATTTGCGTTTTCTTTGAATCCGATATTATTTCTCTCATCGTTTTAATTCATTACTTTTTATTTATTCACAAGTAGATCAATGCGATCTTATATTATAAGCTCATCCAAAAATATCGATTAATGCTTTTAGTATTCCTTTTTTTTCTTTTTTAATTATATTATTTGCTATCAAAAATTCTAATAAACGTCGCAAACTGTCGTTCGTTCGTTCGTTTGTTTTTTTTTTCTCTTTTTTTCTCGTTTAACACAAATATATTTAATCTTATGGCCTGTAGTATGTAATATTATAGTAAAAAGGGTTGAAATTTGGTCTAATATTGGCAACTCTGCCCTTTTTCGTCTGATTCAAGTCTTGTTTAAACGTAACGAATACGTATATGTGTGTATGTAAGTGTGTGATACGATCATCAAATATTAGATCGATCATCTGAAAACTTTCCACTGTTAACCATTTCCTTTTTTTTTTTCTTTTTTTTCATTTCATTTTTCTTTTACTCTTATGGGACATATCGAATATACGTCATTGGAATAATAATAATTAATACATCGAATTAAGACATTTCTTTAGCTTTCATAAAATATGTGAGCATGTCAATCGGCAATGGAAATACGATCGTCGAATTCTTTTCAGCCGAAATTGTATTAAGCGTCTACGATTAAACAAACAAAATAAAATTCATTATTAAATATATTTTTGATCTTACAATTCTATTTTATAATGATAACAATATGATTAAGATTGTTGTTCTTACCTGGAGGTAACGTAATTGTAATGCTGCAGGTGAATCTCCGATTACTTCGGATGCTTCTCTTAATGCCCTACTTGCCTTCTGTTCGCCTTCAGCAGCGATTACCTAATTAAATATACAAAATCATAGAATCATTTTCATATATAGGTGTATGAAACACAACGATGAATAATAATTGAAATAAAAAGTTACCTTAGCACGTGCTTCCCGTGCAGCTTCTGCTTCTGCAGCCATTGCTCGTTGCAATTGAACAGGTAGCCGTACGTCTTTGCTATTAAACATTTCATTGATTTATTTAATGAAAATATATATTAACATATGTCAAATTAAAATGATTTTTCATGAAAATATTTACATTTCAACTCGTTCAACTTTTATACCCCACGTATCGGTGGCTTCATCCAAGGAAATCTATGATGCACCTTAATCAATTTTCTTTTACATATAGCCTTACGTATGTGTATGTGTATATGTACGAGTATATAATACAAATGTATACTATATTTAATAATTAAATTAAATAACTTAAAAGATAACACTTTTTTTTTCTTTATACTTTAACACAATTAAACAGTTTACGGTTCTAAAAAATTACTTCTCTATTTTGGAAAATTATTCTTGTCAAAAGGTACTTGATATTTTTATATGTGATAATAAATATATTTAATAATTATACTAAAAATCGGTAAAATAAAAAAAAACATTTGTTATAATACGACAAACGTGTATACATATAACTTTAAGAATTATCTTTACATTTAAAAATTAATAGATGTACAATAGAAATGAATTCAATGCCTTAAATAAATACAATATTAAATTTGTTTTTTTTAAAAGGGGGACAAATCCCCGCGAATTCATTTCTACGCTTAATAATTTGTCAAATAAACAGTTCGATCGATAATTCTAAGTATTTTTCTAAGATCACGTTACATAATTAATTGAATCAAAATCGAATAGTTGAGAACGAATATTAAATAACGTACCTGCATGTTACCAGAAATAGTTTCACGTTCGCTAAGTATTTCATGTAATGGTCTCGTACCCATAGTATTTCGAAGTGTCGTTTGAGCGAGAAGTCTTGTACTGTGATGTGCATTTTCCACATTGGCGATAGATATAGTAGCATTATTAACACGATAATAAACGACTGCATCGACTGACACTGTAACGCTGTCCTTTGTTAATACCTGTAAAATAATCGATACGTTTCACTTTCGTTATCTTTTAATACCTACATTACCTAAGCATTGAGAAATTTATTCAAGAAAATTATCTTCTTCTTCTTCTTCTTCTTTTTTTTGTTAGAACTTTTTCCTGTTATAATTAGCTTTTTATTTTATTGCGATTTTATTGTTTTTAACCGAGAGTAGGTTGCTGCTAGCTTCAACCCTCGAACAACCCTGTCCCTTTGTCTCCTCCCTTGTCTGTTTGGGTTTGAGACCAGCTATAGGCAGAGTGTCTTGGCGTCAACACAACACACGGGAACACACCACCGTGTGCTGTGTTCTTAACCCCGTTGACATACAAATTAAATGAAATTAACATCAATTAATATTATAATAAATAATAATAACAGAAATAATAATTATTATTTATTATTAATTTATTCACACAGGGGTGTGTTCCCAAAAATCGGTCACCCATCGAAGTACTAACCCGTGCCCAACACTGCTTGACTTTAGTAATCGAACGATACTTAGTGCTTTCAACGCGTCATGGCCGTTGACCATTTAACGAATATAAATTCAATATTAATTATAAACACATACCTCTTGGGGTGGAACATCATAAGTTCTCGTACGCAAATCAACACGAGCGTAATTGTCAACGCAGGGTAGAATGAAGAAAATTCCTACAAAAATTATATTTTTATTTTCAATTATTCACAATGTATTATTATCGTTTATTTATACATTTTTGTTCTATCAATTTTTTTTTTTTAAGGTAGTATATGTATCTTTTTGTTTTTATGTGTGCATACGCGTATTTTTTGTTTTTTATTTTTATTTATTTATTTTTGTATTGTTGTATATGTTACCGTCAAAGCCGGGAATCAAGCATTACTAGTAAATCCTCGGCATTACTATGAATGTGAAGGGCCTTCAGACTAAGTCGGAAATTGAAAAATTCTTCCAATTTTTCCTAGGCATCGAACATAATACTTTGATATTCTATAGAATATCAAATTACTATTTAAACAACGTTGAAAAGAATACATTCTCGGGACAGGCACACGCAGCCATACGCAACATATGTTACGCGTAGAATACCATGTCGAGTTATAAATTTAGCATGTAAACTTCAAAAAATGTTAGAGAATGCAATGCTGTATAAAATTGTGCATCTTTGCCATTTCTTTGAAAAGTTTCGGCAAATATTTTTTATACTTAGAACAAGCGAATTTTAATGATTTTTATATTAAATTAAAATGTACATTTTTGGCTACACGTAGAGTACCTTTTCGCGGTATAAATCAATCTGCAAAGGTTCATAAAATGGCAAAGAAAAGTTTGCGGACTAGGCATATACAACATATACAACAAAAGTCGTAGTAACATATACAACAAAATCGATATAATCGGTTATTGAAACTTATCAAAACCGTTTGATACCGTCAGATACACGTACCTATTTATTTTCATATATTTTGTTGTTATTCATTAATCTCAGTATTGAAAACTTACCAGGACCTTTCGCACCACCGGATAGAAGACGACCTAATCGGAATATAACAGCTCTTTCGTATTCCTGTACAACCTACAAACGTAATATTATGTAAAATGTAATAATCAATAATTGATTAAATTATAAATACAAATAATAATCTAAAACGAGTTATTCATTTGAGACTCTTAATTAAATGAAACACACTTAAACTTAGATTTAAGATTTAAGATTTAAAAAAAGCTTAAATTAAAATTTCAATTTATATATAATCAACATTTTATTATTGTTATATAAATCTCTCGAATATATATAAAACTATATGGTGTTTTACTATTAACAGAATTCACAACATCTTTTATAGAACGTCAACGACGCTTGGAGGTCAATCGTCCGTTCTATTAATAATGCAACGAGGGTGATAGCTGTTTATACAGTGACCGTTAAAAAAGAAAAAAGAAACCTTCTGAATACCCTGTACACTTTCGTAATATTTTACCTTGAAACAAACGAACAGCGAAAACGGCATAGTAAAAATTACCAAAATCCACGACAATATCACCAGGATATTACCGCAGGTTGTTGAATCGGTTTGTGTTGAATCTTCCGCTGAAACGATGAAACACAAACAATTTATTCATTATATAATTTCATCGAATAATAATTATTTGAAATATGTAAATACAGACAAATCGTTTCTCAATAGAAATTGTTTTATCATTTAAAATCAAATGTATGAGCGTTGTTGATTATTTGTCCATCCGATTGAACCAAGTTATTAATTAGGGCATACGTTAAATTCGATATTTAAATCGGTTACGAATTTATACGAGCCCAAAATCTGAGTAAAATATATTCGAACAAATTTCTAACAAAAATATTCGTTATGTTTTTTTATACTTAAAAATAAAAATTACTCAAAAAAATGAGATACGATAATAAGAAAGGAAGATATACTTGACTTGATTTTACAAGCTGACATGAGAACTGTTATTGTCTCGTTAGTATTCTGCGAATTAGTTCTTTCGTTAGGGCTTGTTTTCTTAATAAAGAAAAAGAAAGACTTTAACCGGTACTCTTGAACTATCTCAAAAGGGTTTTCCAGTCTAGCTGGTAACTAATAAGTGTTTATATAGTCCAACCAATAATATATCATCATCATCCTCTTAGATGAACGATAGCTTGTTAATCTCTTGTCATTATAACATGTGCACAGTTCGTAGATAACAAAAGTACTTGCAAGATTGTAATCTCTCTCTTTTTTTCTTACTACTTTATTATTATTATCTAGTTTTTTTTTTGTTTTGTTTTTTTTTGTTATTGTCACAAAAATACAATAGACGTAAACAAATGTGTTATTTTCCTCGTAATTCAAGATCGATATAGGGATACACTTGCATATACTTGCACTATGCAATATATACATATATGCATGTACCGCTTGTGTAAAGTTGGTTTATAAGTAAACAAAAATTACGCCGAAATTGAAAAATGAAATGTGCACAATTTCTATAATCTTTGATAAAGATTTCCTACAATTTATTATAATTTTTAGATTAATTATTTTTCTTTCTTTATTATTTTTGTATTATTTTTGTTTCTTAATATATTTTCGATAACAAATAGAGAAGGAAGAATATTGTTGACAATACTAACTAGAAAACGTAATAAACGGTGTATAACCAGTAAACCCTCAAGTAATTCTCGCTCAATAACTCATTTAAACACAGAATCGATCTTATTAACGATAACAACACATCAAAAGAAAAAGAATAAGAATTACGGATCGATATATTCGTATATACATACATGCATACATAGATAGATAGAAAAACGCGCGTCCTTTCCAAGAAAACTACGTAGATCGACGAACAGAATAAATTTACATTCATATATAACACTTACACGTATTATATTCAAAAAAAGCAATATATCGATATAAAAATCGATCTAATATCTAAAAAATCATTCGCACATCATTTGTTCAAAATATTTCATAAATTGACATTTAAACACACACACACACAATCATAATAATAATATAACTCTATAATAGAAAATAATAGAAATTGAAACGAATCAACCGCACCTATACGTACATAGACGCTCGATAAAAAATTGATTATAATTCGTTATAATACGACGACCACACAATTGAAAGATTCAAATGAATAATTAATAAAAGTGTTGGAGAGGTTAAAAATATATTTCGATTAATAATAAGATGTAATGTTCTGCAAAATTTGTAACCTGTCCAACTTCCCTGTGTGTGTGTGACACTCTCTTTTATAAGTTTTAATAATTTTCTTTTTGTGGACGCGATAAACAACTAATCGATTCAAATGAATGTTTGTATAAATGAATTATTGTATCTTGTAATTGAACATTTTGAAGCTTACCGTCCGTCATAACGAAAATGTTACTAGCGACGTACCCAGTGACCCGTTGACCTAAGTCAGTGAATTGTTCCCTCTCCCTTTCTATCCCACCCTCCCTCTCTTGCTTGCTTACTTGCTTGCTTGCTTGCTTGCTTGCCCCTCCCTGTTTCTTTCTCGATGTAGGTTCGATTTTAAGGTACCCTACGTGTAAAAGGAAAATGATTGGAGATTCGTAAGGTATCACACTCTTTGGCTACGGATATTTTGCACCCTTGTCTGGCCGTGTTCAACCACCCACTCACTCACACGGATAAAATCCTATCTATCTTTCTCTTCTCGTAGTGGCATGCGCGAAATGCGCGCACCACCGGGCACCCACCCACCCCTCTATCCTTTCTATTCTCCTTTTCTCTCCTATAACTCTGACCTACTCTTTTTTTTTTTTTATTTTATCAATGTCCAGTTTGCCTACTTTTCAACCAACCCCTTTCTTCTACTTCTACTTTTATGTACTCTTATATACTCTTTCTTTCTTCTTTTCTTCTTTTTTTTCTTTTTCCAATGGTAAATACAATGCTTTTACTTCACGTTTTTTCTTTCTTTTTTTTTTCTTTTTTATTGTTTTATTTCTTCACCATAATATTATAGGATAAAATGAATTTTACGAAAGAGTAATGTCGATTGTCAGAATATTTTCTACTATCTTCGTTAATACCAATATCTATCTTGACTACTTTTCCATTTCCTTTCGTATTTTTTTTTTTTTCCAATTAAAATGTCGCACGTCGATGTTCTATTTCCTGTTTTATCTTTTATTTTATATATATATATATATGTATTGTTTATTTATTTATTTAACATAATTGGAAAAAATGGACGTTCGTTGTAAGCCATTAGAATTTTGTATTATCATCGGCTGAATTTTTAATGTTTACGTCCAGTCTGCCTACTTCTTTCATTTCCTTTTTCTTTTTCTTTTTCTTTTTCTTTTTCTTTTTCTTTTTCTTTTTCTTTTTCTTTTTCTAGAGCGAAAATGTCACACGTCAACGTGCTATTTTCCGAGTTTCTTTTTTTACATTTTTTTTTTTATTGATCACAGGGGGATTACAAGGTAGAACGAATTTTCTCGTTAGAATTTGTATAACATTATAATACAATGGTTCTTTTTTTCATCGATTTTCTTTCCACGTGTATAGATAAGTCTCGAACTTTATTTCTAACTCAAAGATGAAGATCGTGTATATATTAAGTAAATGCAAGGTGAATGCTATAGAGTAACCAAGTTCAACTATAACTGGCTGATTAATGTTCCCTCATACTATTTTCTTACTATTAAAGATTTTCTTCATTTCATTATGTTTCTTTTCTTTTACATAAAATATCAATTAAAGTGTGATTTTAATGTTGTCACCGCGTTCATCCGAGTTTCATATTATCTTCGTTAGAATATTATCATTATCTAAGCTGTAGAGTATGTTTAATAATAATTTGATAAAACACAAATTAATGAAAACTTACACACATATTTACTTGTTAATTGAATCATTTAACATTTACTTTACAAAGATCAAAGAGGCAACATTTCTAATCGTCAGTAAACGATCTTTAACATTTCCGATAGCTTTCAACACATTATTGACCGGCTGTAATTTAATAAAATCTAACGTGATTCATAACAGTTACGAAAATAGATTCTTAAGTTTTAAACCTTAACAACAACAACAACAACAACAAAAACAAAATCTTATCATTTTTGTTTTTTAAATAAAAATGAAAGTTTGATCCAAAAACAAAATTGTTTCTTTTTAAAAGAAACAAAACTTTTCTAACCCAACCCTATGTATATTAAATAATTCAATTAATATTATTAAAAATACAGAATGAATATATATTTATCAAAAAATATATTGTTATAAATATAATCGCGTAAAATATCTACGAATTCTCTTCCAGTTAGTATTATATTTTATATATGGTTAGGTAAACTTTGCTTAGAGTTGAAACGTTCACTACGATAAAATAAAGATTGCTTCTTTACACATAAGGAATAATTCATTCATACCCAAATTCACATTATCGTTTACTATATCTAATAATTTCAAACAACGACGTGTCGATTCAATAATATTAAATGATGCTGATTATACTTAAAAAGGAAAAATTGGGTTTTTTTTTTAGAGATCCATTGTAAAACAATGAATTTATTTTTATTATTACGTGGATTAATTGAGAAGTTATGAGAAAATAAATTAAATATTGAGAACAAAAAAAAATTTAATCGAAAAATAAATTTTAGACTCGAAATTTATAAAACCAGCAAAAAATAATATCTTACCTCCGATAATACGATTTCGTATATCATCAGGACGCGTGTTAATCTGAATCGTAGACCCATTACCATTAGTTAAAGTCGCCATAGGAAGAGATACTTCTATGGGATTAACACGAGATTCAAATTTCGCCACCTAAAATCATTTCATATTTCAATTATTACAAATATATTTATTTAAAGAAAAATAAATAATACCGTCAATTTTTATTTAAAAAAAAAATCTCTTTGAACGCACAAACACACACGTATGTATCACAAATCTATGTGATTATATTATTATTATTATTATTATTATTATTAGATTAGATAATTTTTTTATTATCTTGAAAAGAATGGTGAATTATTAAAATGAAGCTTTTTTTCGTCCTGTTTACGCGTACTTCAACAGTTATATGGATTAAAAGATAAAAATGCTCGTTAAACTTATTTCTAGAACCATTTTACGATTTTACCACATGATAACGGTCTAAAAGCCAATTTAATAATTCATGCAATTTTATTTTCACTTTGGAATCCGTATAGATTAATCAGCAATAATTAATCGGCTAAAACAACACTCCCCTCCCCTATTTAAATTACGTATTTATAATATTGAAAGCACTTGTTTATCTCTGTCGCAAAAACAAAATAAAAGAAGAGAAAAAAAAAACTCGTCCCTTTAAAATATAATTTTAATTTTTTTACATTGTAAAAAAATTTTTTCCTATGTAAACGACATAAATCAAGACAACAAAACATAAAGCATCCTTGGTAATATCTCATCGAGATAATATCTAATAGAAAACATGTTGTTGACACACGATAAAGTTCTCTGTTGTCTTTCTCTCTTATAATAGGATAAATATTTTTGATTGAGTCAAAAAAAATGGAGAAAAAAGAACATTCATTTAACAATTTATCTTATATTATAATTAAAACCTGTTCGAAGAGTAAATCATAAAATATCCCTTTAATATTCATCGATTATTCATAATTACCGGCACATATATGAAACAAGTGAGATACTTCATCAGAAAATTCTGTTCTCAATTTTTAGATCAAAATCATACATTTTATTCAATTGTATATAGATAAATAAACAAAAAATATTTTAAAACGAATTCATATAATTAAATAAATTGTTTTAGAATCCATCATATTTTTTTTATGCCTTTTTTCTTTTTGCATTTTTCCAAAGGGATGTATGTTACATCCCTGATGTAATTGGAACAAGAAAAATAACATAAGAAATGATATTGGGTTTAAGAAAAAAAAAAAAAAAAAGAAAAAAATGAAAAAAGGGTAATGTACAAGTAATAAAATGAGAATAATATTTTATAAAGTTTTGATCACCTTGTGTCGTTTCTTCTTACACAAATGAAAATGTAGACACAATGTGGACGTCGTCGTGGCTTCAGAGACTTTTGTACGAGACGACGACCGCCACCCTAACTAGTAGTAGACATTGGTTTATCACTATAACTCGACTACGCGCAGTTCGTCCTTGCGTACCGATACCCTTCCACTTTCAAACGGTGCTGACCCCTTGTCATTAAAACGTTCAAACACAGTCCTTTCGAAATATAAAACTGTTTCATCGTTAGAAAAATTTAAAAATTGCCCATTTTTAATACATCATCATCTAAAAACGAAACACCCCTGTCCGAAGGATCATTCAAGATTAGAATCAGAATTTAATTTTCGTTGTCTGTAGAATATTCGAGCCAATAAATTAAACAAAAAATAATAAGTGAAATTCATTTGATAGTAATTACTTGGAATATTATTGCACAATATTATTACATTCAATCATATATACATATTTTTGGTTTTAGATATTTGAAAAATTGTTAAAGTTTATATGAAGGTCGGACACTAGTCAGAAGTTTTTTTAAACGAAACACGTTTTAAATATTGTTTATTAAGTATAACTAAGCAGCTATAGGTATATGAAAAGCTTTTAAATGTTATATGTGAGAATAAAAGCATGTGTCCCAACTATCGAGCTTAACTTTTTTACACGTAAAGCATACGTAAAAGGTTCAAGGATTCGTAAGAGGGTCAATAACCAATGAATACATGAATTATCCTATAATAAATATAGTAATTAATATAAATGAAATAAATATAAAATAAAATTTTCGTTTATGATCATGTGTTTATTAACATCAGGCTAGAATGTATGACAATATTAATGTATAATGCATTATATTTCTTAATTTATTAAAAACAGCTTTTCTTTCTTCTTTATAAATAGCATTTTTAAACTTTCACTTTTATCCTGAAGTGGATGTATTATTATTATTATTACTATTATTATTATTATTATTATTATTATTATTATTATTATTACTATTTTTAGTATTATAATTATTACAACCGACGAATAAAAATTGAAATATAAAAATGCACTGGTCTTATAATCCCCTTTGGTTAGACAAACGACTTGTGAACGGTATTAATTAATTTTTATTGCTCGTAATTTTCGTGCAATTTAATGATACTTATAATAATTCATCGCGTAATCCTCTCATAAGTATATTATTAAATATATATATAAATATTTTTGATAAGTGTATATCCACTTCCACTTAGGCAAATTATTACGGCGAGTTTAAAGATTGATGTGTGAAACAATGTACATGGAACACGTTTGGTCTTATGGTCAAAGTTACACCAGTGATCAATTATGAGTAATCTTTAAAATACTGACTTTTATGATCATTTTTTTGATAACATTCCGTTATCGTATTCTTCCTATTACGTATAATAAATTTTTGTTTCGTCTTTCTTTTTTCTTGACTAGCATTTAAAAAGCGAGACCAGCCTCGGAATAAGTTGTAAAGATTTTTTCAATCGAGTTTGCGTAAGCTGCCGTCCTCAGATCAAGTCCAAGGTTAAACTTCATAGCGGTCTTCATGATGGCCTATGAAAAAATAATATATCATTTATTATTATTTTAATATATAAAATATAAATAGAACAAAAAATATGAATGTTATTATTAAAAATTGTCATGAAATATTAAAAAAGAACCTACCCTGGCAGATCGTTCCATTGTATAATCTAATCCTGAATGTACAATATCTTTTTCAGATGCACCAGAAATACGCTTATTAAAAGCTTCTGAAGGAGTAACAGGAATACGACCACCAACACGACCAAATCTACGTTCCAATGATTCTTGTACAGATTCTGTAACACAACAAACGAAAAATGATTTATTTAATGAATGAAATTATTTCTAATCTGGATAAGTTACCATATTAAATATTGCTATAATATTGCATTTAACTAACCAAGTAAATGATAATTAGATTCTCGTTCGTATTTAAAAGTTAAACGACCATACGACACGTGATTTAAATTCTTCAACCATTCGAAGAAAGAAACTGTAACACCACCAGCGTTAATATAAAGATCTGGTATAACGAGTATGTTTCTTTCAATGAGTATTTGATCGGCAGCTGGAGTCGTTGGACCATTGGCAGCTTCGGCTATTATTTTTGCCTAAAAGAAACAAGCAAAAATACGATAAAAAGAATATTCATATCATTTTTTGTATCATTTATAATTAAATACAAATATTTACCTGAATACGGCACGCGTTATCTTTGGTAATAACTTTTTCTACAGCAGCGGGTATAAATATATCGCAAGGTTCGTACATTAGATTCTCACCCGTGTACGGTTTGGCACCAGGAAAACCTACAATCGTACCATTTTCGATACGGTAATCTTCTAGTTGCTGAAATAAAACAAATATATATTCAAATGACAATTTATATTTGATATGATAAGTTTATATGAAAAATGAATGTTTAGATTTAGTACTTTTGGATCGATGCCTTCCTCACTGACGATCGCACCGTCATGTTCAATGACTCCTATGCAGGCAGCTCCAGCACGATGTAAATAACGCATTGTATGCAAACCAACATTACCAAAACCTTGGATGATGAAAGTTTTTCCACCCCAACCAGGCGTGGTACCTACGAATCAAGACACACTACTTCATTAAAATTTTAATTCTTTAAAAAGAAAACAACAATTTTATATGATTAACGGTACGTACCAATCATACTCATAAAGTTAGCTTCGTTAATAAAATTCTCCAGTCCGTGAAATACTCCGCGACCAGTCGCAGATATCCTTCCATGAATTCCACCCTGATTAATAGGTTTACCAGTTACACAAGCATGAGCATTAATATCCAAATGACCGATCGTTTTCGCATAGGTATCAGCAATCCAAGACATCTCCCGTTCTCCTGTACCCATATCAGGAGCAGGTACGTCTACACCAGGTCCTATAAAAATATTAATTCTAATTATTATATTAATATTTAATGTACATATATATATATATATATATATTATAACAATTAGTTTGCCGCGAGAAGCTTACATTTTATTTTCTACCGTTCTCGTTACGTTTTTAAAAATACTAATATATTATATTATTTGTAGGTATAGAAGAAACAGATAAGAAAAAATACAAAGAGTTCAGATTATTTTTTATGTTCTCGCTTCATTGTTATAAATACTATTACTTGTAAAGATATTAGCATTACTTTATTTTTAGGTACAAGAGATAAAGATAAGAACAAGAAAGAGACTTTAAATAAAAAAAAAAATGCAAGAAATTTGTTCTTTTGCAATATGCTAGGTATAACACAATAAGAACAAGGATAGAGATTATTTTAAGCAAGCTCTCACAAATGTTGATTTTCTACGACAGATTTGATCTAAAATTATCACAGATGAAATAACGTCGACGCAGCAGCAGACGGGCAGGCAGGCATACGAAATGACGTAACAAAATTCTGTCGATTGAGATGCCAAAATGGTATCTCTGTTGTTCGATATAGAAAATCTCAAAAATTCGTTACTCTTACAATTAATTTTAATAAGGCTTACCAATGAATCCTTTCTTAGCAAGTTCCAACGTGAATCTTCTCGTGATTTTTTCAAGCTCGTGTTCGGAATAGTTTTTCGGATTGATTTTTATACCAGCTTTAGCACCACCAAAAGGTACATCCACGCAGGCACATTTAAACGTCATCAATGCGGACAAGGCTTTTACTTCGTCTCGAGAAACATCCATTGAAAAACGGATACCTGTAAAAAGTATTAATTTTATATTGTAAGAATAATTGTTTTTATAATATGAAATAATTATAATTTCTTTTTTCAATATTTATTTTAGATGAACGTCGACGTACTCGTGAACAAGGTTTTGAAGGGATTTAAAAAATAATAATTTGACTTCAACCAATTATACTTGTATTTTACAAATACAAGTAAATTAACGTTACCTCTCCAAAGCTCGTACATATTTGCAATAGTTATTATTGATAAATACATATTGCAACATTTGTTGAATTTTGGATTTCTAATTCTAATCATTTAACATACACAATTTATTCGTAACAGTTACGAGTCGTGTGTTGACTTAACAAATTATAAAATCTATTCTAAAAAATGAGCTTCACTTATAAATAAGAGAAAATTAATATTCGTATAAATTCATTTTAAATCAATAACACACACAAAAAATAAAATAATAAAATACAATTGATTAAATCATTTAAATTGATTGTTACTATATCGCTGGAATTTTGTTACAGTTATCGGCAATCACTAGGAGAGAAGTATAATGTTACAGCTGATATGCTTGAGTGTATACTAATATATGTGTTTGCGCATATAGATTAGTTAACGATTAGATTCCAGTATTAGATCTAACAATACGAAGTATTTTCTTTTCAGACTTCTAAGCAGCAATAACCTGCATAACAATGCACATATTCTCATAAATATGCAGCACCCAACAGTAAATTATCTTAATTACTGAAACCATACAAAATTGTATGCATTTTAATGCAATACAAATAATTGTTTAATTTAAAAAAAGAACAAAAAAAAGAACAATCATTAAGAACCATAAAAAAAGCGATGAAATAATTAAATCAAATCAATCAATAGAAAAAAAGAGAAGAACCAATTAGAAATGTTATTGACCTTAAATATCGTGTCATTGCCATTGAGAACGTATATTATATCGTTTTATCGTGTGATTAATTTAGATGCCAGATTACTAACAAACATTTGGCAACATCTCTCTTGACGACGTAATCATTGCTAAGTTTTTCAAACACACACGCCTTTGTATATATATACCAAAGTATTCGAGATATGCTCAAGTTCACGAACGATTTATTCAAACGATATGATCAGTCAATCGAGTTATCGAGTTATCGAGAATCTATGTAAATATGACCTGCCTCTGGTACTACTTGTACCCAGCCCTCTTTTTCACTTCATATTTTTATCACGTTCGATATAAAATATTGAATATAAAGCTTGAATATGAGTGATGGGGAAACAACATGTGTGTTGTGTATATATATAAGCAGGTTGTGATAAACAAAATAATTATTACGTTTAAATAACTAAGTGGTGAGTCATCTTGATGGACAAGGACAACATCTGCACTATACATTTTCGTCCTCTCTCTTTCTATTTAATTGATTTGATTTGGCTAAGTTTTATCCCGCACATGATGATATTCTAACAATTAAAAGATAAAAAAGTCATAGCAAGATGTCATATTTCGTAATCAATTAGCCCAGGTGTTACATCTTATAATGAACTATAAAAAGCACGAGTATATTGGCGTGCTCGAAATATTTCATTCGTAAAGTATATTTTCGTTCGGTTATTTTTCTTTACCCGATGACAAAACACCCTAATATTTTCTCCTATCGTTATCAACCTAATTAGTACATGGAAATGTTATCTCTCGTTTTAAAAAAAAAAAAAAAAAAAACGATAATATATTTAAATATTTTCAAATAATTTTTCTTCCGATCTTATTTCGCGATCATGTTCTCGTGAAATTTTAAACGTCCTAAAAAACAAAAAACTATATATTACGTTTATCAGTATTTTCTATAGAAAACTAATTTGTTAAGCTACAAATGTGTGTGTGTGTGTGTTTGAGGAAACACGTAATGAAATTCGATACTTGTGTGAGTACATTTCTGTTAAAAATGTAATTTAAATTGAAGTACGCTAATTCCTCGTATTTTTACAAAGTCGTAGACGTACGCGTGACCGTGAATTAATTCAATTTTCTTCATTGTTACAGTGGTACCTCAATCATTGAAAAATTCATGTACGTTTCGCTGTTCAAATTTTCTCAAAAAAACAAAAAAAAAGAAATTAAAAATTAAATTAAATTAAATTAAAAAAAAAAAAAAAGAAAAAATACAAACTCCCAAGAAGAAAAAGAGAAGACATGGAAAAAACAAGGGAATAAGATAAAAATTAAATATACCAAATATACCAAAATATTTGATTCTTCAGGTTCCTTTTTTTTTTTTTTTTTTCTTGATGTCTTTACGTCACAGTCGAAGAATTAGGTGATAATTTAGTCTTCTTTAGTATCGAGGTTAAAACCTCGTATGCTTTGAAGCCGTAAAAATGGTTACAAGTGTGCGAAGAGTCCTTACATACGCGGATACACTATACCCATAAAAGTGAGCTCGCGAATAAAAAAGACGTGGGATGATGTACAGCTATATATATATATATATATATATATATATATAAATCATTACTCCTTAGAGTTAAAAAAATTTTGTAAATTAAGAAATGTTTAAATTTTTTGTTTGAAAAAAAAATGATTGATTTTATGAAATAATTTAACTTATAATTAAAACATTTCTTTAACTTGTGTGTAATTTATATAAAATATTGATAGTATTTATCTTTTTTCCATTTATTATCTTTTTATCTCTTTATCTGCAAATAAGAAAGAACGTGCGCGTACAAATATGTGATGTAACCAAACTGCAAACCATCAAAAACGTCGTCTACAATTAACTTACCTTTAATCTTCCAACGATAAACGTTTCTTTACGTTTTCATGAATATTTTCAATAAACCCGGAAACTAAAATTTAAGAAACGTGCGTAACATATATATATAAAAAAAAAAGAAAAAGAAAAATAGAAGAAAAATAAACTTACGCTGCATTCCGATAAATATTCATTCGATAAGCGAATAATAAAATGAAAAATATTGAACACACTTTGATAAATTGATTCTGATGTGAGTAAAATATAAGATGATGACGTAAGAGACCCAATTGGATGGATATTGGCCATATTAAATATAATAATATAAATATATAAATCTATATTTTTTTGCAACGAAATTAAATGCTATTAATCTACGTTTAAATCACGATTTTGTATTTCCAAAACGAATTTATATTAAAATATACGCAAATTATTTAACCTTTATATTTTATTAGAAATTGCTTGATTATTAGAGATTTATTTTAGGCAAAATTTCAAGTGATATTGATCAGCTGAAATTATATAACGTATTTTCATTTGATTTTACACACGAATAGGTACACAAAGTCTATATACACACACATATTCATAGCAAAAGAGATAGGATTAAATACTTATTACTTATTAGACACTCTATTCGTTATCAGTTCAACTGTCGTTCAAAAATTGAACAGCTAAATCGTATAATGCATTGTTATCAAACGCGGCAAATTATAAGTGTTTTATATGTATAATAATGAGAGTATAGTAGAATACTTAAATACTTTTTTTGTTTTCTTCAAAGCATGCGTATAGCAGTGAACAAAAGAAGGAAAGTAAAACAATGAATAAAAAATAAGAAAATAAATTCTACTGATAGTTGAACAAAAAATAAGATAAATAATAATAATAATAATAAATGATATATATACACACCTCCTTTGCAAGGTGTACGATGTGTCGAATGTTGGGCACGGTAACCTGTGATCATTTCATAATCACCGGAATCACGTCTAAGAGGAAACGATGTCTCAAGTATGTGATCGCATGGTTCCATGAGCATTAATATTCCCTTAACTTTTTTCTTACGTTCCTCGACGGATATCCTCGAACGTTTGCCGATATCTTCAACTAGCTTATCCTCGACTATCTGGCAAGCACGATGGAAAAAGTATTCGACCATGTCAAAGAATTTGGGATTAGGTGCATTTTGCACATCCTTCAAACGTTCGGGAATTTGATGATCGGCGTAACCTCGCATTTGCAGGGCCGCTGTTGTACCTCGAATTAGTGTACCTCGTAAGACATCATTACTAGGCACCTGTTTTAAACCGATCGGTGATCTCGTCAATTTTCTCACGTGAAACATTGTTCTTTTTATTCTTTACTTAATTATTCCCAGGAAAAACTTGTGGTTAACACCGAACGACTAATTTCGACTATCTTGTTTCTTTTTGAACGTAGACTAACTGGATAGTCTCTATCTTTTTAACACTGTTTCCCTTTTAGTTACTCCATTTGATTTTCTTCTATCTTAAGGCGTCTTCTAAGCTTCTTCTAAGCGTCTTCTTTATTTCCCCCTCTTCTTTTTCTTCTTCTCTCTGAATTTCAATTCCTCCTCCTTGTATCTAGTAAGTAATGATCCAATAACCAGCCACGAATCCTAAACAAATGTAGTGGACGATTTTTAGTTTTTTTCCCCTCCTGAATCTTCACTACCCTGCCCTTCTTTTTCTTTTTCTTCCCTTCTACTTACCCCTTTTTTGCCTACCCTTCTCTTGTACCTACCTGACCGTTGGTTTGCTTTGTCGGCTACTTGTGTTATATCTACTACTACCAATCTTTCCTCATCTTCTTCCCAACTATTCAGTGTACCGACCGACTGACTCTACTCAAACCTTCTACCTTCCTCCGCTTTTTCTCTGTCGATACTACTTGACAAAATATATATATATATATATACAATCATTGATTCATAAATTTAATTTCAAGGAAGGCAACTCCCCTTTCAGAGAAGTTCTCTCAACTGTCTCAAGCGTCATCTAGTCGTGTATGCATACAAACTAGAAGAAATTATAATCTAATTTATTAATATATATATAAAATTATTAACATTATTTAAATATCTTCTCTCAAATAATAGAATTCTATGGTCTTTTATATTGCATTAACAAAGTTTACGTACGTAAAAGAATTATTTTCCTCATACCAATAGTGCAAGATTACAAACTTAAAGGAAATGATTTTTGCTTTATATTTGGGAAAATTATAATTGTTTTTTCCTTTTCTTTTTATTAATATTTATATATCTTTATACCAAGATAGTATAGAAATATTTTATATATCGTTTAATTTGATTGTTTTAAAGTAGAGAATGTACAATTCTATTTTATATATTAACGCGTACAACGGAAGTTAAACTGTGACAGCCATCTTGCGCTTATCTCATTTGCGCTAAATTTAAATGATAGTTTTATTGTGCAGATTGTAGATTTTTAAATATTTAAAAATATTTAATAACGAATTATTCACTTTTTATAAATATTTCAATACACTATTGCAGGATCATTTAAATATATGTATTTTTATGAATTGTACTTAAGTTAAACATATTCTATACACTCGTTAATATAAAAATGGTACACCAAAGATGGCTGAAACATAGTTTCCGTTTTACACATCATATACAGATTACAAATGATATTAACGAAACATTTTATTCTTTTTTTTTACTAGTCTCTATACAGAGTTGAAAATAACAAAGAAATGTTTAGGTTATGAATGATCAAATAAAAACATTACTATTTAAACGTTTCTTAATCACTCACTTGTAATTATTGTATTATACAGTATTTTATTTTATTGATGCCATCTCTCAAAAGATTATTAATTTAAATTAATAAAAACAATATTAAGAATTTAAATGATATTTTTTACTGGATATTTAAAATATTGTTTATAGAGGTTACATGTTATAAATTTATTTGATTGCCAATTTTTATCTATTTCGACATTCATGTTTCTTTCATTCGAATAGGTTATCTATACTTAAAAGAAAATGTATCCAAAAAAAATTATTAAAAAAGTACCGGGGGACTTACCACCACCTACAAAAAAGGAAAATCAAGGATATATTGATAACTTAGCTAATAAATCAAAGACAGAGTTGGAGGAACTTTTAGAAAGACAGAATAAAATGTTAGCTAATAAGTGAGTAATGTTTGATAAAGGTTCTATTCTAATGTTTCTTCACATATTTTTTATTATTCAAATTTTATTTCTTAGAAAATTTATTTCAATGCTTCCTGATAAAGGGGAAAAGATTAAAACGTTTAGAAATAAATTGTTAAATCAACTCGATCATCAAAAAGAAATAGATAAAGCAGCTGTGCTTCTTTCAAGACTAAATATAGCATCGGAAGGAAAAGCAGCAATGAATGAATTGGAATGGACAGGTATTTGTCCCAAAGAAATTCATAAAAATAAAATTGTTGAGTTGGATAGTGACGACGAGGAAGAAGACCCATTAAAGATTTTAGCACAAGTAAGTTCTTTACAGAAGTATCTATAAAGTAATAGATATTTTTATCAATATTTAAATAATATTAGCCTACAGGAACTGGTGTACATAAGAAGAAAGTTATACATTTACAACCGACGGAGCCTTTAATAAAACCAGAAGATTTAGAGGAAATAGAATCTTTCAAAAATGAAGGGAAATCGGTTTCCGAATTAATGCACGTAAAATATCTTATCGATAAGGTTGAAAAATCTCCGGAAAAAAATCAAATTAAAAAGGAACCATTTAAGCCATACAAAACTACTAAGAGTAGTGTTCATGATCCAGAAAAAGAGAAAAAAAGGAAATATATTAAAAATTATATAGTTACAGCTGCTACTCCACCCCATATAGTACACGGTGCTGTTAAATCATTAAATTTGAGCGAATCGTTACAATTGCAAAGGGAACAAGTTAAAAAGATACAGGTAACTTGGCAAATCATTTTATATAGAATTGATATGTTATATTTAAAAAAAGAAGAAAAAAGAATGTTTTCCTAGTTAATAAATATGTTTTATATTATCACTTCGATATAGGATATTCAAGCGAAACATGCAGTTGAGCGATTGGTAGAACGACTAAGCTTGCATAATGTTGGTTGTGTACCAAATAATGTGGGTGATTATCGTATACCTGAAGAAATTAAGGATGATAGTTCTAGTTCAGAAAGTGAAGAAGATGAAGTATATGACGATGATGATAACGATAAAAGAGTAACTGTTGTTTATACAACAGAATTTACAAAAAGTTAAATGTTATTAATTGAATACAACTATGGGGAAAAAAGAATTATAGATTTAATATTCGCAAAAACGAATTGTGAAAGATAATTGTACAATTTGTTTTGTTCTGTAAATATTGTTGTGAAAAATAATACTTTCTATACATGATAAACGTTTGTAATTAAAAATTATTAAACATATTCAAATCATTTGTATCTCTTTACTTATCTTTAAATCAAGGCTTCTACCTTAAGAGCCTATGGAAAGTAAGCAAAACATTTTATCAAAGTCAAATTTATAATTTTGTGAAGTTTTATTTAATTATATATATATATATGTATACCCAGTATCGTATGAAAATATATTCCCTCGGATAAGAGGATCGCAAATGGAGAAGTTTGGAAAGTCCTGCTTTATTATTGAATAATTTTGAAATTTATAAGGTGATAAGAAAGAATCAAATTTCTTCACAAGTATACGTTTATAACTTTTATTTTTTTATTGTAATTATAAATCAATTGTAACCAAAGTTATTAATGATTTCTGTATAAGGTGCAGCAACTCTGGCAACAGATGCTTCAGCCTGTTTTGTAAGTTTCTGTAATGAAAATATTAATTTTAAACGTATATTTAAATAATAAAAAATTATATATGTATGTATACAACTTCTTAAATAATAATAATAATAATGTATTATCATTGAAAAAAAACTCACTTTGAGTTTATTTCTCTTCTGGACTTCGAGAATAGATCTGACGCGCCGTTTGTTCTCCAAAGTGCGAACCACAGCTTTGTACTTCCAACCAACTTCGTGGGATAATCTTCCAACGTGACAATACTGAAATAAAAAATATTTGCAATGTTGTATTATTTTATTCCATTTACATTAATATAAATGAAATATTTCATAATGTTATAAAACTCAGCTAAATGTATCATCAAATCCAGTAAGATGTACTGCATTCAGACGCAAATTACCAAACCATCATTGTTTGTTATAAAATAATGTTCTCAAGAAAAAAGAAGTATATACAATAATCTGACAAGAACTTTAAAATATTAAACTCGTTGATAATTTTTATAATAATAACAACTAAAAATTACCTTTCTACCAGGTTTTAAGCACATTACTCTCATGGCACCTGGTACAACAACACGTTTCCTGCGATCATAAGGAGGTGGACAACCTTCATAAACTTTTAACCTTCTTAGAGCATCCTTACCTCTTTGCGTCTTATGTGGGATCATACCTGCAGTGAAATTAATATATTTCATATTATTAATAAGAGTTAAGAAAAAAATCTTTGAGCGTGTATCAAAATTTGTAATAATCTCATAAGATATTGTGGTTTCATTATATATCAAATAATGTAGGTATTAGTAATCATTGATTTGTATTAATAAGGAAATATAAAACAAATGTTCTTAAAAAAAATTGAATATACCTCGTACTGTCTTCCAGAGAATTTTACTTGGTGCACGGAAATGGAATGGACCACGTGCAGGGTTAATATTACATCTTTTACGCAAGAACGACATAAACTTCAACTTATTTCTGCAATCAAGAAAATTAGTATTGAGATTATTATATATTTCGTCTGTGTTTATCTTATAACAGTTGATTATCTTTCTAGATAATTATAATGACCATAATAATAGTAATATATACGAACTTGAAAAAATTTCCAGAAATGTTAAGTTGTTCGCTACGAACAACAATAACTTTATTTCCTTGCAAGATCGTTTTGGCAATGATAGCTGCTAAACGACCGAGTAGATGGCCGCGGCCATCTATCAATATTGGCTAAAAATGAAAAAAAAACTAATATTAGTCAAATTATTATAATTTTCCTTCATCCATAATTGATATTATACAAAGGATTTGATCATAAGATATACATAAACAATTATGATAATAATAAAAAAACCGATATCGACAAAATCCACGTGTGTGACAAAGTAAACGCACAAACTATTCGATGAAACATTTAGAGTAAAAACACTTAAACATTTATTATAGAACAAATTTGACGTAAAACATGTTAATATTATTGCGAATAGTTATTTATCGAGTATATGAAAAGAATAAATAATAAATCTTAAGAAAACAATTTACAAAGAACAACGTGCGCGACTTACTAATAGAACCTAACTGTCCATCTTTGGTTTGGTACAATATGTTAGAAAAAATAATATTTTCGACGGATAATATTGTTTTTTATAGTACATCTTTAACAACGTGGAGGAATAAATCTAAGAATAATTTGTTATAACGTTAATATGTACAAAACTTTATCCACAAACCTTTTCACTGAAGCCAGTCATTACGATATTTTACCGGAAAAGGCCAAACGGGCATTATACCATACACAAGTAAAGGAAGTCATCCTGTAGGAACATTTGTAAGTGTTGCCAACAAATTAAAAGAAAGCAACATGGCTGCTACGCGACTGTAACGCTACCACACAGGTACTATAAAAACTACGAACTTTTAAGCGACTACGTCATTTCCTCCTTGACTTTCAAATAGTAAAGGTATGTACTCTGTAGATTAATAAATAAAATTAGACATAATTAATTGGGCTTTTAAGTAAAATATACAGAAAAGAAAAAAGTTGAAAAATCTTATAAAACATCCGAAAAGATATCATATATTTTAGTATATTAATAATATCAAAACTATAATTTGATTGATTCTATTAAATAACGAATTGTAAATGTATAAACTGTTTTTATATTATTATAACGTTTGTTGAATTAGGATAATAGGAAATACATACGCGTATTACATCTTAATAATGTCGCACAAGTAGACGATTATAAATTAAAATAAATTATTTTAATACTATTTTTATATATAAAATTTGCTTAATTATAAAAAAGAAAGTAACAGTCTATTATTATTAAATGATATAGGAAAGGGAAATGGATGGACATGCGTGAGTTTTGGTCATTTTTCCAAAACAATGAATTTTTATAATATTCTTAGAGTATTAAAAAAAAAAAAAGTAAAATCGAAGGATAATAACAACATATAAACCCAACAATTGTCGAGGATTTTATTAACAATGTATAAAAAAATTTAATTATCAATTTTGGTTGCTGTTTGTTCATCGTATTGAATCGAAGGAATCATCGGTGGTTTGAAACCATATTCGACTTTTGATTGTCTGAAATTACCAATGTCTCCTAAAGGATATCCTTCCGATTGTCTTGCATTTCTCATAATTCCCGGTACGATTGATTGTTGTGCTTCAAGGAAGAACAATGGCGAGGACTTTAATTGCATTCTTATAGAACTCGATGACATTTGACGTGAATCGATGTATTTATTTTTCGGCGTCCTATCTTTATTATCAAAAATTCTAGCACGTCTTCTGTAAGATCTTAAATTTCCGTTAGAAATCATTTCTTTCGGGGGAACGGAATTCGAGGATTGTTCCAAGTAATTAAAATGAACATTTTTATTATTATTATTATTATTATTATTATTATTATTATTATTATTATTATTATTATTATTATTATTATTATTATATCCGATAATATTGTCTTCAAAATAAAAGTTCGGCTTTTTGCGTAAGTTGTCGTGAATCGATGAAGAAGGAGAAGAAGAGGAAGAAGAAGAAGAATTAATATAATTTCTATGAAACGGAATGGACGTAACTTCGGTGTAAAATTTTGGTAACGATCGATGTACTTGCGACGGTGGTAAAACAAGTTTATCGACATCTTCGGAATATACTTTAACGTTTTCCAAATGTTTTCCCGTTTCGATAATATACGGTTTATGATTATGTTTAATTACTTTCTTCTCCGAATAATCCGGAATCATTTTCTCACTGGAAATAGATGGTAATTTGATATTAACCGGATATGGTTGCATAATTAATCTATGAATTACGTGAGGTACTTTCTTTTCTCCTGTTTTTTCGATATAAAACGTATACGGATCAGGTAAACGAGTTTGTTTTTCTAACGTCTGTTTGTCATTAGAAATTTGTGGATGTATTTGTGGAAGTTGTTGAGCCGATGATGTTTGTTTGTCCGTTAACTTTTCTATCGAATAAAATACTTTATTATCGAGATTTTCTAATTCAGTGGTATGCGCGCCGTATCCAGGTTTCTCAACAGATTTCTTCGCTATTATGGAATAAGGCGAAGAGACCGGTACAACGTATCTGGTCTCAATAAAAGGATTATTTTGAAGAATCCTTTGGAAAAGATGATACTGATTTTGAGACAGATCCGATCTTTCTTCGTGCTGATTTTCTACGTAATTATGACCACCATCTTTATTCGATTTCAGATTATTCGGTGTCGGATGTTTATTTCCAGCGCTCGTCGTCGTTAATGCCCCGTTAAAAATACTTCCACCATCCGTCGAGTACTGTTCGTAATTTGTGCTAGCATCTTGGGATTGTCCTGGTAATAAGAAAATTGGTATACCAATATTATTACCTTTGTTGTTATTATTACTCTGTTGTGATGGAATGGAATTGGCATCAACTCGTTTATCGCTAGACAAATACAATCCCATAGAAATGTATGGGAAATTGATATTCTTTTGAACACCATCCGCATTACCGATCAATAAATTATTCGTTTGACGAGACCGTGAAAGATTTTCTTCGATATTATCGTCAAAATGGCCAACGTAAACGTTGGAATTTCCCGATTGAACATCTTGCAATCCATTTATACGAAATTCTTTCTGTACGTTATCATAATTAATCGGCCCGTTTACTTTAACCTTCTGAAATATATTTTCAACGTTGGAAGACAACGGTAACGAAAATTCAACCGGGTAATGAATTTCTTGAACCGGTGCGTTGTGATAAATTTCGATCGATTTTTGAATTTCCACGGTATCATCTGGCTTATTTTTAATCGTCGAATTCCCATGAAACTTTTGGTATTCCGATTGTTTAGAAAATTCTTCGTAATTCTTATTTATATTCGAACATGATTTATTAGATTTATCGTTGTTGCTCGCTGCATTTTCTTCGTCTAGCGTATTAACTTCGGTTTGCACAGTCCTCGTAGAAACAACACACTTGACCGATCGATTATTTTCGCTATAGTCATCGATGAAAGTATTTTCTTGATCGTTAACGAGAGCTACGCCAACTCGAAGTGGATTCAAAACCAAAGTCGATCCAATCATGTCTTCCATTTCCGGGTTATCTTTTTTATCATTCGCCAGATTTTCCGACATCATTAAAGTCGAATTCAATTTACTTAATTGTGGAAAATCTGGTACAATAATAGGACCCGAAAATTTTCCATACGACGACGACGAAGACGCAGTTGGAAGATTATCTCCTACGAAATCATTTTTCTCCGATTCAAATAATTTATCCTCGTCGTTTAATTCAACCCGCTCGGAAATCCTTTCATTTGTTCCGTTCGTGATCCTGCTTTCTACGTTGTTTTTTATTTGAAACGTAGAATAATCATTCGTTTCCTTGAATCTATTATTAATTACAGACATTTCGTAATTAGTGTTTGATAATGGAACTGATTGATGGTTTTCATTAACGGGAATACGAAAAGCAAGATCCATTATATTTGTATCGTTTGTTTCATTATCTTTTGATGTTGTATGATTAAAGTTAACATTATCGAGGGATGAAGAAGATCGATCTGATAATTGATCTTGTTCGAACGTTATTATTTCGGTAGTACTTTGGTATAGAGTATCATTCTTGAAATATAATCTTCTGGATAGTGATGGATGTAAAATTTGTTTATGCGGGTCTAACGTTTTAACTTCTGTCAAATGTCCTGACTGAAAAAAAAAGATATATAATCAAGAAAATTATTTAATATTAATATACATTATATTGAAATAAATAAATATATGAATGAATGAATGAATGAATGAACGAACGAGCGAACTAATTGCAAACAGTTTCACTTGAAAAATAAATTTCTTCGAATCATATCATATGTCACACGTTTGTGTAATGCGGTGGAAGGAAGAAAGTTTGTAGAATCGTGTCACAAGAATCGACACGATTCATCACGAAACCTGTTTAAGTGGAATACCTCTACAGTAGAGCAGTTCGAAATTAGCGCATCAGGCAGAGTCGCAATGAGAGAAAGGCGCAATTACGGTACCAGGATGGTCTTCCTTTCTCCTATACCGTTGGATGCAGAAGTGAAAAAAGGACTGTAGTGCGGGAAATGATGCGTCGGATTTTTCTGACTCATTTGAAAGAAAAACCAGTGAGAGTTGTATAAATTTGGTTGGCTCGCGTAAAAGTAAAATGCATAAGAAATCATTACTTCCTTAATGTACTGGAACGTTCAAATGATAATAACTACTTTTCGCGCTCTCTCTTCCCATTATCTTTGCAAGTCTTTCATTTGTTGCTCTTTTGTTCTCTCTCATTTTCCTTTCTTTTCTTTTTTTTTTTTTTTGGACGATCAGAAGACTTGATAAAAAGAATTCAATTTTAAATATACACGTGTACGTGTTTTCGAAAATATATGGTGGTAAAAAGAAGACATTTTTTTTTCCATATCCTTTGAAAATTATTCCAATTGTACTTACGTATTTGTTGGCTAAGTCATCCGCGGTACAAAACTCCAAATTTCCAATAATGCTCGACCAAATGGTAACGGCAAGCTGAAATCAAATTGATCAAATATTTATTTGTTATTAATTTCGTACAATATATAAGTATATTCAATTATTCTATAATTAAACTCTTTTTTTACACCCATAGACAAATTGTTTTTTTTTTTTTTATATTAATTCAGTAGGATCAATAGCGGAAATACTTACTATACGGTATTGCATTTCTTCCAATTTAATACATGAAAATTTAACTATCACTTTTGCTATAATTGTACGTTTTTAAGAGAAACCTTTTCCTTTCTTTTTCTTTTCTTTTTTCTTTTTCTTTTCTTTTTTTTTTTTCTCGTTATGCGAAACTTATGCGAGGATATTTTGACTAATTGTAAGTAATCGAATTCTTCAAAGAATCTCGACAAGAGAACGAACGCACTTTGAAATGACACAGTATACTACTTTGCTCTGCCGGGATGCACTTGACTTGACTTAAAAGTTCCAGTTATCCCCACGCGTCGAAAGTGTTCGAAGAAAGCTACAGCCACATACAGAATCTGTCCAGCATCCAGTTTTCAATATACATACATATGTCAGATACGATCGTCCGCGATTATTAAGAATGTGAGATCAAGAAGAAAGAAAACAACAAGATCATCTATAGAATTTAAGAAGAAAGTGGGCCATTCATACACAACAATTTCACGTTTCGTATTATCCTTTTTTTCCTTTTTTACATCTATCCTTTTTTAATATGTTGCAATAAAAGTCTACCAACACTTTGTACATTTCTATTAAAAACTCTCGTTATGGTTAATCTGAAATACGGTTAATTAATGATTACACATATTTTTGGTTTACTTTTTTTAAATCTAAATTATCATTCAAAATTTATAATCGTAGGAACTTCGAAGAATATTGGAGAATACAATGTAATTATTATTATTATTTATTATAAAGATTACACCTAAATGTTATATTTTGTAAGAAACAAATTTTCTATACATTCCACGTGTTCGTGTAAAAGAGATTTGAATTTTTAAAAACAAAATATTTTATAGTCTTCTATGTTAATAGAATATTTAACATCAGAAAAATAGAATGTTAATCTATTATTAATCGTTTAAAATTGATTACACCATAATTAAATGCTTTATATAAATACATGTAAATAATTTGTTACGCTAAGATAACTCCTGGAATAAATTATTTTTAAATTACCACATGTGTGTGTGTGTGTGAACGCGCTCAGATTTGCGCATGCGCAGGATAGCTGACAAAATATTTTCTCGATAATATTTACTAATAAAAATTATATTGCATAGCAAATATTGTATACTTGTGTTTTTTTTTTTTATTTTAAAAGTTAATTATTGAATTCGTTCACTTTTGACGTATTTCTCCCGCTATTTTTCTAGTGACTTTTGTTCTACAGCTTATACGCATCGTTCATTGCTCATTCACTTTCTATTTAAACGTATTACTTTAAAATCTATTCCTCTGTTGCAATCGCAACATCAAAAGTTACTATAAATATCAACACAGATATATTAATTGCATTTATATATATTAGGTATAATTTATTTCAAATATTACAAAAAGTTATATTTTTAACCCAAAAATTGATGGTAACCTTAAATGCTATTTATCTACATTTTAATGCATTGCTATTGACCAATGGAAAATAAAAATTTAAACGCAAAGTCAGTTTTGGACCAATCATAAGATTGCGCTTATTCTATCAGCTAATAGCATTCTAGTACATTGTTATAAATCTTATGGATAGAAGATCTAATTGGTTAAAGGTAATTTTAATTTTTTTCTGTTTGGTAACAGCAACAGGTCGCGAAGAAATGCGCACCGGTCTTATGACCATTCTATTGTCATCGCGCGGGTCGCGAACATTTAACGAGTACTTTCGTTATTTCAAATTCAGTTATACGATTTTCCTCGCATCTCTTATTTACAAATTAATTTAGAGTAAGTATTCTTGTGATTGATTCCTTAATTATTTCATTATTTCCATGATTTTCTTTTAAATGTAATATAGTAGTAAAAAAACATATATATATCTATGAAATATATGTGTAAGTAAGAAACGGTTATGAGCAAAAAAAATATGTAATAACTTTTATACCATAACGCTTTCAATTGTTTCTTTCCAATAAACACAATAATATGATGGATATATTCTCTCTCTTGTTAATATGTACATAATAATTATTATTTATTGTTCTATTTCTATCTCACATAAATAGTATAGTCTTTCTGTAACGGTTTTTTAAATATTGGTCACATTTCATTTTAAATTATGATAAATAATAATTGTCTTTTGTTGTATACGCGTTTTTACCCAATGATATTATGAGCAAGAATAATTTGGTTTTTAACGAATACATTTAACATAGGAAAATAAATGATTTAACGTATATTGCTGGTTACAGTATTATCATTTTTATTTGATATTTTAGAATTATTTTTAGAATTTGTAAAAAGGCGTATTTCCAATCTTGATTGGACTATTATCAATAATATGCCTGCCAATAATACCACTATACCTGCTCAGGAGATTGATCGCAATTCCAGAATTGCTAATTTCAAATTCAACAGTAAACATGAAGTGAGTTAATGTTTTCTCATTTTTATACAATAAAATCCATAGTACTTAAAAAATATATATTACTAATATAATAAATATATGTTATTATAGAATGGGTTTATATTATTTATTTACAATTTGCAATTTTAGGAAGCACGTAGAAGGAGAAGTGAAATTTCAATTGAATTACGCAAAGCAAAAAAAGAAAATCAGTTATTCAAAAGACGTAATTTAAATATTGTGGAAGATGAGGAAACATCAATATTTACTGAAAACAATATAAAACCTACCTCTTCGTCAATTGAAGATATTGTAGCCAATATGCTTTCCTCCGATGAAACTATTCAACTTCAAGCAGTACAAGCTTGTAGGAAGATGTTGAGTCGTGAAAAAAATCCACCAATAGATTCTATGATAAATTTAGGAATAGTACCACAATGTATTAGATTTTTGGACTATCATCATAAGTACGACAATTACTTTTTCTATTATGTAATCTAAAATTAAGCTGATACAATATTGGTTTAATTTTGGAATAATTTACAATTTGGTGTTGTATGTAAAATTTATTTATTTATTTCTGTAGCCCCGCACTTCAATTTGAAGCATCATGGGCTTTAACTAATGTAGCCTCAGGCACATCTGAGCAGACATACGTTGTTGTCAAAAATGGTGCTATTCCCAAATTAATAAATTTACTTAAATCCAACTCATCTAATGTCGCTGAACAAGCTGTATGGGCATTAGGAAATATTGCTGGAGATGGACCAGTGACTCGTGATCTTGTTCTTGCCAATGGTTTATTGCCAGTTCTATTGAGTTTAATAAAACCAGACACCAATGTACGTATGATATATTTTTTATATGAATGATCTTAATAATGCATTAAAAATTCATAAGATTTGATTAATTAAACTTTACTATATTTAACAAACATAGATAACATTCGCTCGTAATATAGTCTGGACTTTATCGAACTTGTGCCGAAATAAAAACCCACCGCCACCATTTGAAGTTGTAAAAACAGCTCTGCCAGTACTGAATCGATTGCTTAGCAATACTGATAAGGATATTTTAGGTATAACAAACATCATTCCATTACATGATGTTACAGAACATGTTAATCAATATTTATATATTATACAAATATTATAGCTGATGCTTGTTGGGCATTGTCATACCTTACCGATGGACCAAACGAGAAAATACAAGCAGTAGTTGATTCTGGTATTACTCCAAAATTAGTAGAATTACTTTCATCTACTGAAGTAACAGTGCTTACGCCAGCACTACGTGCAGTTGGAAACATAGTTACTGGAAACGATGTTCAAACGGATGCAATCATTTCCGCGGGTGGACTTAATCATCTTGCCCTATTATTAGAACACAATCGTATAAATATCGTTAAAGAAGCTGCTTGGACTATTAGTAATATTACTGCTGGAACTGTACAACAAATTCAGCACGTTATAAATGCTAATGTTTTACGACCATTGTGCCAAGTTCTTAGAGTGGTAAAGTTGATCGATAATCTTTATAACAAAAAGATGTTACATCTTTAAACCATTTTAAAAGAGATGAAGAGATTTACAATGAAATATTAATATATTTACAGGGTGATTATAAATCACAAAAAGAAGCAGCATGGGCTATAACTAATTTAACTTCAGGATGTTCAGTTAAACATATAGCTTATTTGATACAGACTGGCATATTATCTCCATTCTGCAATTTACTTGATTCCAAAGATTGGAAAACTGTTCTTGTTGTTCTTGATGGCTTATCAAATATTTTAGAAGCGTCTGCAAAAATGGGTGAAATTGAACGTGTTACCCTTATGATCGAAGAAAACGGTGGCCTAGATAAAATTGAATGTTTGCAACAAAATGAAAATGAACAAGTATACCAAAGAGCCATAGCAATCATTGATACTTACTTCTCAGATTGCGTAAGTACAAATACGAGCATATATCATATTAGTTTAATAAAATCTGTATTTATAATTAGCTTCATAAACATCTAAAATTAATAAATGTCATTTAATAATAAAAATAGGACCAAGAAGAGTTCAGCACAATAGATCATCCGAAAACGTCAGAAAATACGGAATTACAGTTCATAGCTCCTGATATTCAACCACAACAAGCTTTTAATTTTTAAAATGTTGTATCATTCTTATATTACAGTTCCCAGTGAGTTATAACCCATTTGTAAATAATTCATAGTAATGGGGCAAAAAAATATTAGCAATTTCTTCGCGCTAATCGAATATTTTGTACTTAGTGTTTCGTTCATATTCTTAAAAAGCGAAAATTATTTCGACGATTGATCTTCTTTTTTCTTATGATAATATTTTACTATATCGTAATTATGTTAAGTTGAAAAAATTTCTTTAAATTGAAGACAAAGTAATACACAAAAATTTGCTCTCTATAATTCTCTGATGATTTTTTGATGATTTGAGAAAGAGAAAGATAAATATTATTAGGCGTTACAAGGATTTATGATTAAGCTTTGTTCAAAATATTAATTTTTTAAATTTTGCATGTAAAGAGTTTTTGTCGAATTTATTTTTTCTTATATTTTCTTTTCATATTGTGACGCGCAAAGACATATGTCTATCAATTATATTAAATCCTATTAATGATATAAATTTGTTTTTTTATGTATTTTGTAATAAAACTTATATATACTTGATTGGTTAACATACTTGGTCGTTCTTACAACCTTTTACACATTTATTTATGAGGATTTGATTCTTTCATTATGGACATGGGCTTTGGACTTTTCGATTAAACAAGAAGACGTTCACGATAACTCTTACGTTTTAATAACAAAGATTCTGTTGTCGTTTCTTACGCCTGACATCCAAATAAAATAATTGTATTAAATATAAATAATATAAAATTCAGCATATAGATAAAAAAAATGTTAATATATATATTTATGTAAAGTTTATTATAAATTATAGTGACTAGATAATCGAGTACATACTTTAATATCTATCTATAGGTATGCACTAAAAACTAATATTTACTTAACGTGTTTACTAATCTTGTAATCACGTGGAAAGTAAATTATGCTATCGTGAAATAAAATAATACTCATAAAGGCTTTATGAAAGAAGAGAAGCCTAATGAGTACTTCATATAATATTGCTAAAATACTTAATATTGTAAAGTAAAAAATAATACTTTCTGGTTATTTCTTCTATATCGTCTATCTGTCCTTAATTCTATACATAATTTATGCTATACAAATGTATATAAAATATTAATAATAGGCAAACGTATTATAGTGATAATTCTTACAAAGCATATTAACGTATACACTTTAGGTAAAATTAAATAAAAGATTTTTATACTATCGGCTAAGGACGATGTCGCTTTGATCATTCACCATAAAATGATAAACAAATGCAGCTTTTTTCCTATCAAACGTGGCTTGCGTCGCGCGACTTCTTTGCATTCTGTCTTCCCTGCTTCTTGGTGGATCTCGTAAAAAGATTGATCCGAACAAAGTTGCTATAAAATAAAAGATTCATAATTTTTATTTCTTTTTTGTTTATCATTACATTTCAATTTATAAAACATAAAAATAATATATACGCTTATTGTAAATATATATCTTAACTTACCAAGAGTTTTAGCATCCAATTCATTATCTGGAGTATGGTTCAGAAGTTCTTGTAAAAAGAAAATAATATATAAAAACACGCTTCTTCTAGTTTCGGAAAGCTGCATGACAATCTGCAATGAAAAATAAATTGACAATTACAAACAAACAAAAATTACAAATTATACACATATAATATAAAATATATATATTTATAAGCTTTTTCTATTACTTGTTTGCATTGTAAATAACTCGTCGCTGCTGTTAAACAAACGCTATGCAGATTATATGGTATCAGAGGCTCTGCTGTAGATTCTAATAGCAAAAGTAATGCCTCTGCTACAGAATGTACGCTACCAGCTTCATTTGATTGAACATGTTAAGAAATACTTCATTTGACATCTTTCTTATAAATAAATAAATAAATGCTCAGACGTATTTTAAAGGATACGCATAGATTCTTGGCTGCCATTATCCAACCAATCTCTTATGGCAATAATTTCACTATGAAGACCAGGGGTTTCGAAAAGACCAGGAGTTTTTATACCATGACGATATAATATGTCAATTAATTGAAATATTTCTTTTGGTATCGCATATGGTTCTAGGGATAGATTTTTATTATTTTCCTAAAATAAATATTTTTTTATTATTAAAAATTATAAATAACATAATTTAATTTCACAATTTATATGTTTTTTTCTTTTATTTCTTATCAACTTGATTTAAAGTAGACTTACTAATTCTGCCAATCGACCAGCTGTAACTTCTCCAATTGGTATCGGAATGTGAACTAATGCTTCCATTGATGACCCAAAACAGCTTCTTTCATAAGTACCTTATAATAATAATATATCGTTACAAAAAGAAAATATTTGTTGATAAATTGTTATAAATATTGAAATGATCTTTAATTTATATTATTAAAAACTATTAGATATAGGTGTACCTGTAACTGTTATAAAAATATCTTTGCCTCCTTCAAGGTGTAAAACTAATATATCGTATAATTTGTCCTCTCCAGAATTTAATTTGCACGCTGACTTTTTATCGACATATATTTCTAATTTAATATCACACTTTTCACCTATAAAACATATATAATGCAATATGAAATAAGAAAAAAAAGAAATTATTTTATCAAATAAAAAATGATCACCTGGTTTTATAAAGCCTGTATAGGGTTCTATATGCAACCAGTCTTTGCAATAACTGGTATCATCTAATTTTTTAATAAATTCAAACTGAACTGGTACTTGTCCTGTATTAGCTATTATGAGATCCTTACTACTAGGCTCGAGAAATTTTAATGTATCAAAGATCACTTCAGTCGTATCAACCATTACTTGGGGTAAAAATTCATTTTCTAGTTTATCTAACTTCTTCATAACTTCTTCATGGGTCTTACGATATTTGACCACATCAATAATTCTAATCTATATTGCAGTAATCGAAGTTAAATCAGTAAATAAAATTATGTTCAAATAATATATAATTACTTTCAAATAGATATCTTACTTGTGAATCAAAAACAGCACTGACTGGTTTATGATCAGATAGTTTTAATTCAGGATGACTTCTATACTCTATTGACGTAATAGCTTCACCCTTCCATAAAATCCTATCGCACCAAGCTGGTGCTCTACCCTTTTCACTGTTTATTAATTAAATGTGTGAAAAATATAATACATTTAATTTACTGGCATATGTATATATTACCGTCAAAGCCGGAAATCCGTCATTGCTAGTAATTCCTCGGCATTACTATGAATGCAAAGAGCCTTCAGACGAAGTCGGAAATAAGACTTTTTGGAGAGATTTTCCTAGGCATCGAACATAATACTTTGATATTCTATAGAATATTAAATTACTATTTAAACAACGTTGAAAAGTATACATTCTCGGGCACAGACACACACGAGGATTTACTAGTAATGCCTGATTTCCGGCTTTGACAGTAACATATAGAAGCAAATTTGATAATCTTATATGTAAAAGAAAATGTTCTTTTAATTAAACAAACCTGGAATCCCAATTGTCAGTACCGGGATCATATTTATATGTTGGTTTGAATTTAATCTCAGCTTCTTGAAATTCTTGGAATACACGACCTAGTCGTTTTTGTTCACCTAATTGATCTAATGCTAACATTGGAGCATAATATCCAATAAGAATGTAATGTTTGGCTATTGTTGCATCCATTTCTGTTATCCGATAATTCAGATCTCCCAACCAATAAATTTGACTGTGAACAATGAAAATAAAAAAACAAAAAAACAAATATGAAATAATATCTTGTAAAATAAATAATATCGAATGATTACATCGTACACATCTATTTACTTACTCGTGTTCTTTGAAGCTTTTAGGTGGGACGTATTTATAAAAAGAGAGCCTTGCACATATATCTGCATAATCTTGATTTCGTCGTTCGTATTCTTCACAATGAGCTGCTAAATGCGCATTAACGAAGCAAATGGATGTGTTATGAATTGAACAGCTTACTGCTACACCACCTTTGTTTCCCTTTAATAATAATGTAAGATAAACTATTTAAATAAATGATTATTAATATTAGAATAAAGAAAAAAAGATGTACCAGTTTACCCATTATTCCTGTACCCACTGTATCAGTACAAACATTGTGTATATGCGGCATGTGTACTTCTTTAGCAAATACAAGCAACATCATACCAACTAATCTTACAGCAGCAACCGAACAATAAGTACCTTTAGGATGAAGAGATTTTGTTACAACTATCCTGTAAGAAAAATTATGAAATTTATTATATAAAAATAGCTTTTTTGTTCTAATAACTAATATTTACCTCCATTCTTCTCCTCGTGGAGTATCGTTAAATAAAAATGCTTCTTTACTTAAATCTAATTCTTGAAATCCAATAGCGTATACATCAGGAGGTTCTTGATCGCTACTTAACCACTCTTCTAATTTGATTCCATTTGGTGGTTGTCCATTCACATTCCATGTTCCTACAAATATACTGTAACACAAATATAACGACTTACACATTGTAAATATAACAAATTTATATATCTGTAGAAGAAAATGTAACAAACCGAAAAGTCTTGCTATATGTATAATCATCTTCTTTACATGCCATCTGGTAACGCACCACAGATTCTCGTGCAGCAACTGGCGATTTTCCAGATGCTATTGTTTGTCTGGATACAACTAAATCAGGACTTTCTAATTCTACGAGCTGTAAGATAATGAAATTCAATTAACTTTCAAATAAATGATAAATAAATTAATAACAATTAGATTTACTTTTAAATTCTTACAGGATCAACCACGACATTTTGAGTTTCATTACTACTAGTACTATCTAAATTACTCATATATCCTGTTAATTTTTTAATCCATAAATATTCCGCTGGTGAAATTTTGGATTTTTGGTAAACTAAAACAAGTACATTAAATACTTTGAATAATATCAGAAACTATTTTAATTCCATAATAGAAATAATATACTACCTTCTATAGCGCGAAATATTTCAGAAACCAACGAACTCGTTGATGTACCACGTTTCATTTCAAACATCAAACGAAGTTTTCTGAACGCTATATTTAAATATACATATAAGCCTTCTTGTTGTTTTCCACCAGTATCTGAATAATACGGTAGATATTTATTACCTATATCTCAGTGAATATAAAATTGAACGAATCCTCGTACAATGAGAAAGATACATTCTGTTATACAAACTACATAATATGTCGATTATAAATGAAAATTCGAAAAGTATAAATATACTCTTGATATAGTAAAACAATGTTTTCTTTAATGTAAAGTGTGTCACTCGCATTGTACAAGGAAGAAGAAAGAAAAAAGATTAACTGTATTTATAATTACCTATATCGCATTTAAAATCCTGATCGATCGGTAGTACTCTTTCAATAGTTAAATCACTGTATACCTGCGGAGGTGTTCTAGATATAAGAAATACTACCAATGCGTATGTTACTCCTTTGCTAACCAAAGCTATTACACGTGTTGCTTTAGCCCATCCTTGCATCAAAGATGCTTCCATCGCCTTTAATTCTAGTTAAGGTATTTTTTGTATACGTGCATACAATAACTATTACTTTGTTTAACACGTTTGCTACCAGTGTTAGATATCTATAACACAGTGATTTTCGTTGAAAATGCAGCATCAAATATTTGTAATGGCAATCATTGTAAAAGATATTTTGGACTATAGTTGATATCTTCTTTGTGATATGGTAACGAACGTGTTGATAACATTTACTTTAAAAAAATTTGTTATTATTTTATAACAAAGGATACAATTACTACTGTTTCACCAGAAATAAATTTCGATTGAATAATTGCCAATTGTTCGGAGGAAGCCATGGTATTTATTATAAATTTAATTAATGATTGTATAGTACTTGATATATAATTTCTTTAAATGCAGATGCACAATTATATTTATTTTACTATTGTTATTTCAATAGTAAACCCTGAAAAAATAAATATATATATATTTTTATTAA